TCCTTTAGTTGTAGATAGTAAATAATTGGGATCTGAGGGCTGATCCTAGCACTCTGCTGGTTGTTTCCAACCTGAGAAAGATCCATTGATCCTGACTCTCTGTCTTCTGTGTGTTCACCAATTCTCAATCCATGTTAATATATTGCCTCCAACATCAGGAGTATAATCTTCTCTTCCCAAAGAATACCAACATTCCCAAGGATCCATTCTGAACAAAACCATTAGCCTGCATCTGGAGAATTCCATTTTTGTTAGCAGAACTTGTTACTGTTAAAGCAGGTTGTGGATCGGGCTGTTGTTCGTTTTGACCCTTCTCTCTTGTTTAACAGCGAAGTGCCAAGAGGAGATCGACAAAGTGATTGGTGGCTCTCGTATGCCGAACATGGAGGACGCGGTCAACATGCCATATGTCAATGCCGTTGTTCATGAGACTCAAAGATACGGAAATGTGGTACCTATTGCAGCAGCCCATGCAACAACAGAGGACACAAGTGTCAAGGGTTACACAATTGAAAAGGTGACTTCTTTACTCTGTCAGTGTCTATTTCAGCCACTTGTAATTTGTCTTTTGGCCCTTTTCGGACGAGGGATAGAGTAAGGCTTGGAGTGAACTGCTATTAATGGGCTCCCTGCTTTCATCCAGGCAGGCTGCCCAAACTACAAACCTCTTGGACAGTTGCAAAAGCTGAATCTTCTCCATTTGTACCTTCTTGATCCTCCTAGCTTGACCATGGACCAAATCATACAGCTCTACCCTAAAGAGTGTGGTCACCTCCTGCAACAGAGTGTCTGGGTAACTTTCCCCTTCCCTGATGCATTGCACTATCTGCAGCTCAATGACCTGGAGGTGCAGGTCATCAAACCACAGACACTGTCTGCACCTGTGTTTGCCTTGGAGCACACTGGTGCCCTTGTGCTACAATATGCTTTAGCTGCAGCACGTCGCACAACCATTTATTACACTTTGATACAGTAACTTAATTTTTAAAAAAATCAATAATGTCCCTAGTCCTGCCTGAGAATAAATTCTTTTCATTCAATCAATCTTCTATTTGTCACAATTGAGATTCCCCGGTCAAGTAGGGTGGCATGGTGGCTCAGTGGGCAGCCATGATACCACCAGGGACCCGGGTTCGATCCCACCCACAGGCAACTGTCTGTCTGGAGTTTGCGCACTCTTCTCCCTGTCTGCATGGGTTTCCTCCCACAGTCCCAAGACTGGGTTAGCCATGGGAAATGCAGGGATGGGTCTGGTTGGGATGCTGTTCGGAGAGTCGGTGTGGACACAATGGGCTGAGTTGTCTATTTCCACACTGTAGAGATTCTATAAGATTATTTATCAGCCAATCACCTACCTGGTTTGATGTCATGTCTCACCTTGATATTTGTTCTCTGAAACATGGGTTTTGATTGGCTTCTGGTAGCAGTAGTGGGGACCACACTGCCTCTAGTCAATTCTTACTGACTGAAGGCTCTCTTTTTGCATCATTTATAGCCCCGCTGCAAGTTTTGCTCTTTCCTGCTGTGCCAAGCCTTCCTCTTTTGCCATGCTCTACAAAATTAAGCCTCGTAGTTTAATTTACATTTCCTGCAGAGGGTAGATCATTCCGTATGAATATATGCAGGTTCCATCAAACAACATGGCGAAACTGACGGATAATCTTAAATTGCTTGTTGTTGGAATTATTACCTAACTCTGAATTATTCAGCTAATGCTACCTAACTGTGTAACCATATCTAATGTTAGACATTACTTGATGAGTTTTGTAGGCATAGCCTATTAGCGTCCAGTCAACACTGTTCAATCCTGAGTGTGCTTGGAGCTATATCAGCAATCAGCTGGATTCGCAATGTGGCTAGTTCAAAATTGCTGGCAGCTACATAAATTCACACACAGGGCTCTGTTCTCTGTAGGCAAAAGGTCAGACATTGTCACTCTTGAATTAAACAAAAGCATTGAGCGAACCAATAGCTCCCTGCAGCATTGCCCATCACAATGACTTGACCAATCGGGATCAACTTGCAAACCAATCAGGAACAAAAACAAAGTTGCTGGAAAAGTCGAGCAGGTCTGCCAGCATCTGCGAAGGAAAAATGAGTTAACGTTTCGCGTCTAGTGACCCTTCTTCAGAACTTTTCGGGTCAGCTCTGAGGAAGGGTCACCGGACCCGAAACGTTAACTCTGTTTTTCCCTTCACAGATGCTGCCAGACCAGCTGAGCTTTTCCAGCAACTTTGTTTTTGTTCATGATTTACAGCATCCGCAGTTCTTTCGGTTTTTACTTTGCAAACCAATCAGCACTGTTTTCTCCTATGGAATAAATTGTTGCTCCCTTTGAAATTTGGCATTCTTGCATCTGTCCTGATGAGTTCCAGATGAGAAGCTTTGAAAACGTGTGGGTTTTTTTTCCCCAGCAATATTCAATTTGGAGTGCCAAGTGTCTTTGTTCAATGGCTAGATAAATGGAGTGTGGCACAGAATTAAGTCAACAGCCTGGGTTCAATTTCTGTATCAGCTGTGATAAACCACAGAGGCCCTGCTCCTCACCTTTCCCTTACGCTAAGCCTATAGAACAATTACATTCAAGCTATACACAACGTATTGTCTTTCTTGAACTTCACTTTTATAGACGGTAGCTCCATACCATACTACTGCCAATTGCTGAAGGTACATTGATGCCATTCCTATTGAACCGCTGACTGCCCTTCCTCTATTGGTACTTAGATATACTGACCTTTCTCAAATGACTGGGCGTCCACTGACATCAACATTGACCCTCTGGTGGTCAAAGAGAGGATCCTGGGAGATTTCATGAATAGGATGTGGGCATCGCTGGCTAAGCAGTATTTATTGCCCATCACTAATTTCTCAGAAAGCAGTTAAGAAACATCACCAGTGCCTGTGGGTTTGGAGTCACATGTAGACCATGTAAGGACGCCAGATTTCCCTCCCTAAATGACAGTAGCGAACCAGATGTGTTTCTTTTAATGACAAATAGTAATGGTTACATGGTCTCTGTTAGTCTAGAGGTAGCAAGAACTGCAAGTGCTGGAGTAAGACATAACACAGTATGGAGCTGGAAGAACACAGCAGGAGAGTCCTGACCTGAAACACCAACTTTCATGTTTCTCTGATGCTGCCTGGCCTGCTGTGTTCCTCCACACTGTGTTATCTCCGCTAGTCTAGCTTTTTATAGGACGGGAGATGGGGGTGTGGGGTGGGGTGGGGGGGAGGCAGCTGGGTGGGATGCTCTTCAGTGCATCAGTGCAGACCTGATTGGCTGAATGGCCTCTTTCTGCACTGTAGGTAATCCATTGAATACAGATTTCACCACCTGCCTTGGTGAGATTTGAATCTATGTCCTCAGAACATTAGCCTGAAGTTCGAGGTGACGAGACCAGTCCATACCACTGAAACCGTAAGCAACATTAAAGCAGAATTTTAAACAAACCAGTCAATATATTCAGGAGTTCTGTCAGAGCTACAGACCCATTAAAACGGTGATCTGATGGTGTATCTGATAGTGTGATCACATATACTGTAATTATGTACACTGGTACTGTTGGGCACATGTACTGTACTCATGAACACGGTTGCTGTTTTCTAACCGAGCCCTGAGGGAGGTACAGAGTGCCAGCACTGCAGACCCCCAACTGCATTTACCTCTCCCCTGTCCACAGCACTCATGCTAAACCAGAGGGAGAGCGCTCTACACCCTGATGCAAAGTCAGAGGAGTACTCTTGGGGTTGATAAAAGAAATACTTAAGAGCCTAGAGGATTTTCCTGCTTTGGAAACTCTCATATGAACCAAGTTTACAGAGTCATCGAGTCATACAGCACAGAAACAGACCCTTCAGCCCAACTTGTCTGTGCCCACCAGGTTTCCTAAACTGAACTAGTCCTATTTGCCCGCGTTTGGCCCATATCCCTATAAGCCTTTCCTATCCCTTCACCTATCCAAATATCTTATAAATGTCATAACTGTACCTGCATCTACCACTTCCTCTGGCAGCTCATTCTATACATGCACCATCCTCTGTGCGAAAAGGTTGCCCCTTAGGTCCCTTTTAAACCTTTCCCCTCTCAGGCCTCAAACCGGTGTCTTTACAGTTCTACGATGTCCCCCTCCTCTTGGCTATTCACCTTGTCTACACCCCTCATGATTTTGTAAACCTTTATAAGCTCACCTATGCTCCGGGGAAATATTCCCAGCCTATCCAGCCTTCTTATGAGTCAAACCCTCAAGTGCTGGTCACATCCTTCTGAATTGTTTTTGCACCCTTTCCCATTTAATAACATCCTTCCTAAAGCAGTGTGACCAGAATTGTATACAGTATTCCAAATGTCACCTTACCAATGTCTTTTACAGCTGCAACATGATGTCCCAACTCCTGCACTCAGTGCTCTGTCCAATGAAGGCAAGTGTGCCAAATGCCTTCTTACCGCCCTGTCTACCTGTGGCTCTAGCAATTTCTGTCTTTGTTTCTGACCTCCTGCGCCCGCAGTTCTTTGTGTTATTTTAGCAAGCCGACTGCAATGGTAAATGTTGCTTCCCTTTATGTACAGTACCCATCCTTGGCATGAGGAAGTGATGATGAATGTAACTCATTCAATTATATAACTCACTGCAGATGTTTTCTTCTGCTTTTCTAGGGAACCTTCATCTTACTGAACATGGAGTCTGTTTTGTCTGATGAAAAGCATTGGAAGGACCCGAAACATTTCAATTCGGAGAATTTCCTGAACGAAAATAGGGAATTCTTTAAGCCAGATGCATTTATCCCATTTTCACTGGGTGAGCAGGTTCTTGATGTTGCTGGCAATCCTGTTGTTTTAGAGTTCACCTCTATTGAGAAGCACAGACACAATCTCGCTTGCACCATACTCTTTCTTGGGTTAGAGGTAGATTTTGCAGAATTCAGCCTCCTGCAGAGTTTCTCTCTGTCCTTGCTTTGTGGAAATCTCAGGGTTATCCAAAGCTCCCCTACACAGTTCCTAGTTCACACCAAGTCTCATTCACCCTCACCTTCACTGCTACCAGTGCCTCCTTTCCAAATTTCTCACCCATGTTTCCAAATCTCTCCATTGGCTTGGCCCCATCTCTCCATCTCTATAAAATCTTCCGAAGACACATCTTCTGAGAGCCCTGTGTTCTTCCAATCCTGATCTCTAATTAATTCCCGTTTCCTCGTTCTTGCCATTGGTGGCTGGGCATTCAGAATCTAATACTCTGGAATTCCTTCCTTAAACACCTCCATCTCTCTCTTCTCCTTTAAGACGCACCTGAAAACCTACATCTCCACCAATCCTATGGGCAGTTGTTTGAGTATCATCTGATGTAGCTCAGTGCCAAGTTTAGTCCATTTGTGTGCTAGTGAAATGCTTTGACCTGTTAACAACGTCACATAAATGCAGGTTTCTGTTGGTGTTGGAAGCTGACCATAAGAGCATTGAGATAGTCAATGGGGTAACAAAGGCACGAATGGTCTTTCAGCGCAGGAGAGCTGAGACAAGGCTGGACATAGGTGACGCTACAAAGGAAGGAGTAATTGGCTTAGCGATGTAGAGGATATGTGTACAAAGTTCAGCTCGAGAATGTACACTGTACTGAGTTTGTGACTCGGAGCAGAATAATGACAAATGTTATACTGCCTCGTATTTCATTATCTGCTGACAGCATGAATCACAATGTAGCTTGGACACTAAAATCACTAGAAATTGGTTCAAGCTAGACTTACTTTTCATCTTGACCCATTAATGTGCTATGTTGAATTTTCTAGGTCTGCGAGCATGCCCAGGAGAAAAACTGGCCAGAATGGAGCTATTTTTGTTTTTCACTGTTCTCCTTCAGAATTTTGAGTTCTACTGGCCTGACAAGACATCTACACCAAAACTGCAGGGTGAATACAGATTGACACTACCAGCACAACCATATAAAATGGGAATAAGATACAGAAAAGCAAGAGATGGTGAACTGTGATCTCAGGGGATGTCCACTTGATGGTGTCAGATTAAGGATCAACATTTTTTCTGTTCAAAATTCCTCTTGTGATTCTTGGGCTATTTTTTGATTTTTGAGGGCTCCTTTTTTCTGCTTTTTGGACATTAGGCCTTCATTGTCACGAACTCATTTATAGGGTACTGCAATCAGGGACTAACACCAGCCCCTGTATTTGTATTGAGGTATTGGCCATTTGGAATCACAGAAACAGAATTGGAAGATTTCATCAACATCCTCAAAAAAATCACCTCTCCATTAAATTTAGAGTCTAAACATGTACATAGCGGAGGCAATGGCCTAGTGGTTTTATTGCTGGACTGTTAGTGATGATGATGGATGCCTGGAGCACATTTGGAGTCCAATTCTAGCATTGAATTTGAGGGGTTACAGACCAATGTCAGAATCTTTGACAGCTGAACTGTGAATTGCCGGTTTATTCCAGTTGCTCCCTTTGTAGTTGCCTCCTAACCCAAGAATGAAAGGGTTCTTCTGGGTTTTTAATGGGGCTCTTGTGGTGCAGTGGTAGTGTCCCTCTCTCTGAGCCAGGGGACTTGCATAAGGGTGGTAGAGGCAGAAACGCTCATAACATTTAAAAGAAGTATTTAGATGTACACTTGCTTTGCTAAGTGCTGGAAAATGGGATTAGAATAATGAAGTGATTGTTTTCAATCAATATGGATATACGGTCGTATCTGTGCAGTCAATCTTTATGCCACTATGACTGTGAGTCAAAGCATTATTTACTTCAATACTCTATTAATCACTTTGAATCATGTAACTTAAAGTGTCATTGAGTCATACAGCACGGAAACAGATCCTTCGGTCCAACTTATCTGCGCCAACTAGACATCTCAATCTGATCTAGTCCCATTTGGTCCATATCCTTCCTATTCCAGATGCCTTTTAAATGGTGTAATTGTACCAGCCTCCACCACTTCGTCTTGCGGCTCATTCCATACACTCACCAGCCTCTGCGTGCAATATACTCAGTGAATGCAACTTTACCAAAATCTACAATTGTAGGAGTGCTATCATGTTTCTTTTCAGCATTGAATTTCATTATATCATGATTGTTATTCGGTAAATATTTTCTTACTGTAAGATAATTAAACAGCAATTTCTCATCAGTTATTACTGCAGCATATTGCTCCAGAAAATGATCAAAATTCACGCCCAATCTCCATGGGATGTAAAGTCTCCTATTAAAGCATTTCTGTTGGTGCCACAAACCATTCCAATTATTGAGTCAATGCATTCTTCCACTTCATTACTGCTCTCAAAAGGTCTGTAAACAACTTTCATTATAGTTTTAGGTCCTCTCTTATTGCACAGTTCTAGGGCCATTGAGTCATAGATCTGTAAAGCATAGAAACAGACCCTTTGGTCCATGCCAACCAGATATCCTAAATTAATAGAGTTATAGGGGTGTGCAGCACAGAAACAGACCTTTTGGTTCAACTTGTCAGCCTCTCCCGAAAGCTCAAATCCTCCAAACCTGGCAACATCCTTGTAAATCTTTTCTGACCCCCTTTCAAGTTTCACAACACCCTTCCTATAGCAGGGAGACCAGGATTGAACGCAGTATTCTGAACGTTCTACCCAGAGTATCCACTGATTGTTTTCTGTGACCTACATCCATCTTAAGGTTTTTGAGTAGATTTGTAGCTCGGGTTTTGGATGTTGTGGTTGGTTGACTCACCGAGCTGGTTCGTTGCTTTTCTGCAGATGTTTCATTACCATGCTGGGTAACATCATCAGTGCAGCCTCAGATGAAGCGCCGTTGTGTTTTCCCACCTGTTATTTAAACTCTGGTGTCCGTTGAACTGGGTTACCTCACTTCCGGTTTTCCTTCGCAATGTGGTGTACATGGGGTCTAGCTCTGCGTGTTTATTGATGGCTTTCTTCGTGGAGTACCAGGCTTCTAGGAATTCCCGTGCTTGTCTCTGCTTTGCCTGTCGCAGGATCTTGGTGTTGACCCAATCGAATTGATGGTTCTCCTTATCCATGTGGATGGAGATGAGTGAGTATTGTTCGTTTCTTTTTGTAGCCAATTGATGTTCATGAACTCTTGTGGTTAGTTTTTAGTGTTTGTCACGGTCTCTACAGGGAATCTTGTATATGACATTGATCCTCTCCATAGTGGGTAGTGGATCTTTGGTTTGGGTGAGCAGTTGGCGTAGGGCTGATGTGGGTTTGTGTGCTACTCTGATGCCCAGTGGTCGTAGGAGTCCTGTGGTCAGTTCAGATGTGTTCCTGATGTAAGGTAGCGTGATGAGTGTGTCGGGGTGTGTAGTATCTTCCTGGTGTCGTTCATGTAATAGACATCTTCTGACCCAGTTTTTTGGGCATCCGTTGTCTTTGAATACCTGGAAGAGATAGTCTTCTTCTTTTTGGCATAGCTCTGTGCTTTTGTAGCGTGTTGTTGCCTGTTTATATACTGTTCTCATGCAACTTCATTTGTGTGTGTTAGGGTGGTTGCTGTCGAAATTCAGTACTTGGTCAGTGTGTGTAGCTTTCCTGTTACTTTAATTCCGCATTTGTCTTGCGCTCTACCATGACGTCCAGGAATGGGAGCTGTTTGTTCTTCTTCTCTTCTCTGGTGAACCCTACAACAACTGCTAACCCGAACCAAAGACCCACTATGGACAGGATCAATGTCATATACTAGATTCCCTGCAGAGACTGTAACAAACACTACATTGGACAAACAGGAAGGAAACTAACCACAAGGGTTCACGAACATCAATTGGCTACAAAAAGACACGACCAATTCTCACGTGTCTCCATCCACATGGATAAGAAGAACCACCAATTTGATTGGGACAACACCAAGATCCTGGGACAAACAAAGCAGAGACAAGCACGGGAATTCCTAGAAGCCTGGTACTCCACGAAGAAAACCATCAACAAACACATAGAGCTCGACCCCATATACACTCCACTGTGAAGGAAAACCGGAAGTGAGGTAATCCGGCTCAACGGACTCCAGAGTTTAAATAACAGGCGGGAAAACACAACGGCGCTTCATCAGAGGCTGCACTGATGATGTTACCCAGCATGGTAATGAAACATCTGCGGAACAACGAACCAGCTCGGCGAGCCAACCTACCACAACTATACCCATCCTTCCTAATGTTATAATAGTATCTTTAATCAAGAAGATGATCCCCTTCTCCTCTTCCAATTGTACTATCATTTTTATGGAACATGGACTTTTCTTTCTTTCTTTCATATTTATTAATGTGAACTGGCTGTGGTGGCGTCCTGTGTGCTGAGCTTATCCCACTGTGAATATTCAGGGATCTCCGATTTACACATATCTGACTTACAAACACTCATATTTATGACCGCAGTCCCATACAGGGTTGTATGGATATTTCCTGCAGCTGTATGGAACTTTACTTCGGCCACATTTGGCATGTTGTGTACAGTTCTGGTCACCACACTACCAGAAAGATATGGAGGCTTTGGAGAGGGGACAGAAAACGTTTGCCAGGATGTTGCCTGGTTTGGAGGGTATTCGCGATGAGGACAAACTTGGTTTGTTTTCACTTGAACGTTGAAGGATGCAGAGCGACCTGAAAGAAGTTTACAAAATTATGAGAACCGTGCATAGAATGGATAGTCAGAGTCTTTTTCCGAAGGTAGAAATGTCAATCACTAGGGGACTTAGGTTTAAGGTGAAAGGGGACTTGAGGGGCAAGTTTTTTTACACGGAGGGTGGTAAGTGCCTGGAACGCACTGCCAGAGGAGATGGTGGAGGCGAGTACAGTAACAATGTTTGAGAGGCATCTTGGCAGTTACATGATTAGGCAGGGAATAGAGGGATACCTTGTAACGGCAAAAGGATTTTAGTTTAGAAGGACGTCATGTGCTGGCACAGGTTTGGTGGGCCGAAGGGCCTGTTCCTGTGCCATACTGTTCTTTTCTTTGTATGAATGGCTGCTTTACATTGTCCTGCATTGTGTTCTGACTTGCGCACAAATCAACTTGTGGTCAGACTCCAGAATACACCCCATTCACAAGCTGGGGACTATGTGTAATATGGGATGAGAAAGGGCTCACTAAGTGACAAATTGCATTGTGGGTTTGCAAAGGCAAGTGTGGGAAATCTGTAAAGTTGTTCCAGACTCAGAACTGCTGAGAACAGCAAGAGTCTCCAAATAGATTTTAAACTGTGCTGGAACTGTGAGAGAAAAGTGACCCTTCTTCCGTCCAGCAATGGAGATAGATAAAAGGCTGTTAGTGATGACAGCACAGATAACTGCCTGGGTTTATTCCAGGGTTAGCCTTGAGATTGGGGCTCAGAAAGGAGAGTAACTTTGAACAAACAAAATAGCAATGTCATTAAAAACCAATTAATTTGGCCAAAAACATACCTATTATCTTAGATGGTACACAGCAAGGAACGGTGAAAAGAAAGCTTTTGAAAAGGATTCGTTGCAATAGTGGGTAAAATGGTTTAGTCAGTTATTCCATTTGCAGATCTCTCGATGGATTGACCCCCTGAGACAGACCATAGGTAGTGAGGCTACTATGCAGCTGGTGTCATTAAGGGTCTACACAACAGTTTAGATGTTTATCAAGAGTGTACAATGTCTAGTGGAACAGAATCCAAGTTATGTGCTTTTTTTTGGTTGTTTGATTTATTGTTGTCACATATACCCAAGTACAGTGCAAAGTTCTGTTTTGCGAGCAGTACAGGCAGATCACAGGGTGCTTAGACAGAGCGAGGCATACAGGCTGCAACTGCACAGGAGGTGTACAAAGCAAGATCAACATTAGATTTGAAATTGGAGAGGTACATTCTGTGGGGACCTTTAGACCAGGAGGAGGGTCTTATACATGGGAACTCCTGGTTTCACTTCTAAGTTTTAAAAACAACCAAACCTTCCAGTAAATAAAAACCGAAAGAACTGCGGATGCTGTAAATCAGGAACAAAAACAGAAGTTGCTGGAAAAGCTCAGCAGGTCTGGCAGCATCTGTGAAGGAAGAAAAGAGTTAATGTTTTGGGTCCGATGATCCTTCCTCGTGTTTTAAAACCTTCCAGTAAATCACCAACCAATACACCTGCACTAATGTGCAATTCTATCCATTCAAGAGGATATAGCAAGGCAGAAAGTTTGTGCCTAATTGGCACAGGGGCGATGGTTTCAACCTGAAAGGCTCTCCAGTTTTACCTTGAGCATTTTGCTGAGGACTGCAAGCTGAATGAGGTCTCTTCCCTTATCCAGGTATTTACCTCATTAGGGAGGTGTCATCCCCCAGCTTGGTTACATCGCAGCACTGCCTATCTGTTCTCACACTCTTTTATAGCTCGGGGTTTCTGGTAGTAAAGAATCATAGAATCCCCACAGTGTGGAAGCAGGCCATTCAGCCCATTGAGTCCACACTGACCCTCCAAAGAGCATCCCACCCGGACCCATCCCCCTCTACCCCTGTAAAGCTGCATTTCCCATGGCTAATCCACCTAGTCTGCACATCCCTGGAGACTGTGGGCAATTTAGCGTGGCTAAAGAAATACACTACATTGGTGTTTCCCACCCTCCTTCCTCCTCTGACCCAAAAGAAAGGGGCTCTGTGAGGAAGATGACTGGGAAGGTAAAGGTGCACAAGGGAGCAGCCATGAAGAGAGTGGGCCAGTGTTAGATTGGAAGTGCTGAGGCCTTTGCTCGAGAGGTTTTGGTGTGAGGAGGCTGAACAGGGGTACAGGTAAGAGTAGGTAAGGGCTCTTTAACTCTCTTTCTGTCTAGACTGAAGCAGAGGGATAGCAGTTAGGGCAGTGGCATGCTCCTCTTGCCCAAAAAAAAGGGCAGCATGGTGGCTCAGTGGTTAGCACTGCTGCCTCACAGCACAGGGACCTGTGTTTGATTCCAGCCTCGGGCGACTGTCTGTGTGGAGTTTGCACATTCTCCCCCTGTCTGCGTGTGTTTCCTCCGAGTGCTCCGGTTTCCTCCCACAGTCCAAAGATGTGCAGGTTAGGTGGATTGGCCATGGGAAATTGTCCCACAGTGTTGAGAGATGTGTAGATTAGGTGGGTTATAGGGGGATGGGTCTGGGTGGGATGCTCTGAGGGTCGGTATGGACTTTTTGGGCTGAAGGACCTGTTTCCACACTGTAGGGATTCTATGATTCTAAATTGAGAATACCCTGTGTACCTGTGGTGTTGGGGTTGAATGTGTTGAGAGATATCCAGATGTCTTTGGAAAAGCATGCACAGTGACTGTTAGAAGTAAGAGATAATCTGCCCAGTAAATGGGTGTTTGACCTTGCTCCATGTTTTCGGCCTGTATGGAACCCCAGAGGATGCTGGGAATGCATAGCCTGGGAGTGTAGCTCATAGAATCAAAGAATCCCAACAGCATGGAATGAGGCCATTCGACCCATTTGTGTCTGTACTGACCTCCCTGAAGAGCATTCCACCCTATCTCTGTAACTTGCACAAGGAGAGGCAATGGCCTAGTGATATTTTCATTGGACTGTTAATCCAGAGACCCAGATATGTTCTGGGGACCTGGGTTCAAATCCCACCACAGGCAGATGGTGGAAATTGAATTCATTAAACTATCTGGAATTAAGAATCTAATGATGACCATGAATCCATTGTTGATTGTCAGGAAAAACCCATCTGGTTCACTAATGTCCTTTAGGGAAGGAAACTGCCATCCTTACCTGGTCTGGCCTACATGTGACTCCAGACCCACAGCAATGTGGTTGACTCTGAACTGCCCTCTGGGCAATTAGGGATGGGCAATAAATGCTGCTTAGCCAGCAATGTCCTCATCCTGTGAATGAATAAAGGGGAAAAAAGAAAATCTACCATGACTAAGCATGCACTTCCATGGACACTACAGGGCAATTTAGCACGGCTAGTCCACCTAACCTGCACATCTTTGGACTAGTTGAGATGGGAAATCTTACAACCTTTAAAATATACGTGGATCAACTTGAAAGATCATAACGTTCAAGGCTATGGGCCAGGTGCTGGAAAATGGGATTAGTGGAGATCGGTGATGGTTCTTTTTCGATGGCATGGACTCAATGGGCCAAAGGGCCTTTGCTGTCCTGTATGACTGTATGGCTCTGTCAGTAGCAGGGAATTGGGCTGCCCTGTTACCTGGCAACACTACCACTGCCGTTGAAGACTCATGCCAGCTGTACACAACGGGTCCATACCAGGTCTTGCCAAAATGTGATGGAGCAGAGCTCCCAGATTTATGTAAATCTGGGAATTGACCATCTCACTGAGGGAGAGGAGGGGAAGGTATCCATGCAGGGCACAAATCACCAAGTGTTTTCAAAAGGTTAGAAGACATTGAGGTTCCCAGGGACTGAAGGGCTGCATGTGGATCTGTAAAACTGGCACGGATAGGTACGACGATTAAAAGGGAACTGTGTGTTCTGGGCTAGACATCGAGAGAAGATGGAGAACATGCTTCAGGTATTCAAGGGAATCAGTTACTTGGATCAAACCTGCGAGTTGCCCTGGAGACCGCCAGATATAATGACCATGGAGTGAGTACTGTGTAGATGTATCAGAATGATTAAATTGAGGAGAAATTAAGCAAACTAGGGCTGAATTTCCTGGAAGTTGAGAGGTTTAGGGATGAACTGACTAAAGTTTGCAAGATATCAAGAGCAAATAGATCGAGAGAATTTATTTTTTCCTGACGATTGGAGAGTCTAGAATACATAGAATCATGGAAACAGGCCATTCTGTCCATCGAGTCCGTACTGACCCTCCAAAGAGCAGCCCACACACATGCCCTATCCCATCCCTGTAACCCTGCATTTCCCATGGCTGACCCACCTAATCTCCACATCCCTGGACACTATGGGGCAATTCAGCGTGGCCAATCCACCCTAACCTACACATCTTTAGACATGGCGTAGCGTACATATATTAACTACATTTGGAAATGAAGTCAGGAAATGCTTATACACAAAGAGTGGAAAAGTGTGGGAACTCTGTTCCACAAATGGTAAGTTCACATGAGTTCAGCGATTCACTGAAAGTCTGTGAGTTGTATAGATGTTAACACTAGGTGGCACTAGGAGCACACAGAAAGAGACAGCTGGTCCCTGCTCAGTGATGGATGGGCACACAGTGATAGCCGGGCCCTATCTGCACAGTTAGTGCCCCCATAAATGGGCACTGGAGAAAGCCCAGTGCAATCTCCAATGTGGGTCACCCCTTTTCAACAGACATGGCTAGGGGGCAAATAGCTGGGGAGGTGGAGGAGGGGCAGATGTAGAAAGGGGGTACAGGGGTAGGGCATGGGGAAGGATATCAAGGTGCATCCTCTGCCAGTGGCCTCCAACCCCCAGCTCTGGCTGCATGCTGCTGGAGAGGGCTGCTCGGTAAGGTGGAGCTAAACCCTCCAAGCCCTTCACCCTCCTGACTTGGGAATATCTTGCCATTCCTTCACTGCCGCTGGGTCAAAATCCTGGAATTCCCTTCCTAAGGGCATTATGGGTCAACCCACAGCATGTGGCCTGCAGCAGTTCAATAAGGCAGCTCACCCCCACCTTCTCAGGGGACAATTAGGGATGAGCAATAAATGCTGGGCCCAGCCAATGATGCCCATGTCCCACAAGTGTATAAAGGACGTGAGTGTGGTGAAGGAATGGAGATTGAGGAGACTGACCCTAGAGACAACGCCATGGAGGGAATGATCCACCTCATAAGCCTCTTCCCTTCAGCCCCAGACTCCTCCTCATCTCCCAATACTCCATCCCCTCACCCCAACTTCCTTCTCCTCCACACCCCAAACCGCCTCCTCCCCCTCACCCTGACCCCCTCCTCCTCCTCACCCCAACCCACTCACCCAAAATCCCTCCTTCCCTCACCCTTAACTCCTCACCCAACCCCTTCCTCCCCTTTACCTCATGCCCCCAATGCAAACACCTCCTCTCCCTCACCCCAAACCCTTTCACCCCAAACCCTTCCTCCCCTCAACCCAACCCCCACCTGCACCTCCCCAGACCCCTGCCCAGCCCCCTCCTCAGTCTTGTCCTCACGCCCCCAATCCCTCCTCTCCCTCCCTAATCCCCTCCTCACCCCCATCCCAACTCCCTCCTTCTCACCTCAAACCCCAACCTTCCCTCCCCAAGCCCTCCTGCCCCTTCCCCACCCTAACACCCTTCCTCATCCCAAACCACTCCTTTCCCCAAAGCCCTCCTCAACCCTCTCCTCCCCCTCCCCAACTTGCCCCTCCCCTTTCCTAACCCATTCCTCACACTCACCCCAACTTCCTGCTTTCCCTCACCCCAACCTCCACGTCATCTTCACCACCGCCCTCAACCGCCCATCTTCCCCACACCTCTTGCGTCCTCCTCTCTTCATGAACATGTGTTATTCGAAAATACTAGTGTTCCTCTTTTCTAGTTTTTCCGATAAATGGACACACTAATTTTAACACTCCGTTTGATGCAGGGTCAGTATTATGTGTTTTATTGAACTTGGTCCCCGGAGAGAGAGTGATCTCTCTTTATGATTTCTCACTTGTGTTCCTCATATTCTGTTCTGATAGATGGAATCTCCACCTGCCTGGATGAGTGTGGCTCTAACAACACTTAAAAGTTTGCTATAGAGTCGTACAGCACAGAAACAGACTCTTTGGCCCAACTCGTCCATGCTGACCAGGTTTCCCAAACTGAACTAGTCCCATTTGTGCACATTTGGTCCACATCCCTCTAAACCTTTCCTGTCCATGTACCTGTTCAAGTATCACTCAGGTCAAAGCAGCCCACTTGATAGGCATCCCATCCACTGAATATCGCCAGCAGCTTCTGGGAGCCTGAGGCAGATGAGGAATGAACAAAATTCTAGTGTAAGCTAGGAACAAGTACGAGCTACAGAGCAGGGGAAAGCAAGGTTTCACTAGTGCATTTCTCCATCCGACCTCAGTCCTGTGGGATCTTATCATGACTGAGCTGTTTACGCTCTGTGCTCAGTGGGTGCTGTCAGATTATTGAGACACCTAACCCTGTACGCGGCACCTTAATCATCCCCCTTTCTCCCCCACTGTAGCTACATTGCGGACTATCTCCACAATGTTGGCCTTTCGACTCCATGCTCAACGCCAGAATCAGAAAATGTTCGTCGATGAATATCTTAACTGACACAAAAGGACCATCATTCATTTAGAATGCAAACCACCAGCATTTATTGGGCAGCAATGATTAATAATTAAAATTACACGAGTTCAGGCATGGTACAGGATGTTCAATGTGTGACAGTCTGCCCTTTGTCAACCCCTGGGTCACCAGAGTCTTGATTCCTTCAAGCTGGTCTCCAGTCTTGTGATGTTTTAGCTTAACTAAGAGAACCCCAAAACGCAACAAATTCTGCAGTTTTAAGATGTCACCTCTAACTTTGCAGCCTACATAAACTGCTGTGACAATATTGAGCTGAATGTTTGCTTTACTTCCTCACTCCGTCTACAACTGCCTTCAGCCTTCGTGTGGATTCTGACACTGATCTCATTCCTGCACCTGGTTATGACACTTATCTGCAATAATGACGGTTACCCATTGACTGTTAATGCCCCAAACATCCGCTACCAATTCCTAACTTCCCTGGCAACAGCCTCCTTTTAGCCAGCGTCCTTTTGGCAAGCTCCCAGAGCGGCACGGTGCCTCAGTGGTTAGCACTGCTGCCTCACAGCACCAGGGACCTGGGTTCGATTCCACTCTCAGGCAACTGTCTGTGTGGAGGCATGTTCTGCCCGTGTCTGTGCGGGTTTCCTCCGCGTGCTCCGGTTTCCTCCCACGGTCCAAAGATGTGCAGGTTAGGGTGGGTTGGCTGTGCTAAGTTGCCCCATAGTGTCCAGGGATGTGTATGCTACATGGGTTAGCCATGGGAAATGCAGGGTTACAGGGAATAAGGTTGGGACGTGTAGGAACTGAAGCCATGCTGTTGGCATCGCTCTGCAGGTAACTGAGCTAACTGACACCCTATACAAGGCCAAGCCAGAGCTCAGCTGGAATATTGTCAACAGCTTTGGTCTTCTTTTGCGGGAAAGGGAAAACAACAGGGAGTGTGATGGTAAATAAAAAGGTGAACAGCAGGTTAGCATGTGTGCAGGAGGGTTTAAGTTCAAGGCAGACTATGAAAGAAGCAAAAAGGAAGGATAACTCAGGAGATATTATCAGAGATGTTGGAAATCACGAGGGTAAGAAAGCTAGCATAAAGGCACTTTACCTGAATGCTCGTAGCATTCGTAACAAGGTTGATGAGTTAACGGCACAAATCATCGTGAATGAATATGATTTGGTAGCCATTACGGAGACATGGTTACAGGATGGTCACGACTGGGAGTTAAATATCCAAGGGTACCAGACTATTCGGAAGGACAGACAGGAAGGTAAGGGAGGTGGTGTAGCTCTGATATTCAAGGACGCCATCAGGACGGTGCTGAGAGATGATATAGGTTCTGTGGAGAATGAGGTTGAATCCATTTGGGTGGAAATTAGAAATTCTAAGAGGAAAAAGTCACTGATAGGCGTAGTCTATAGGCCACCAAATAATAACATCACATTGGGGCAGGCAATAAACAAAGAAATAACTAATGCCTGTAAAAACGGTACGACAATTATCATGGGGGATTTTAACCTACACATAGATTGGTCGAACCAGCTCGGTCAGGGTAGCCTTGAGGAGGAGTTCGTTGAGTGTATCCGTGATAGTTTTCTTGAACAGTATGTAATGGAACCAACGTGGGAGCAAGCTATCCTAGATCTGGTCCTGTGTAATGAGACAGGAATAATTAATGACCTCTTAGTTAGGGATCCTCTTGGAAGGAGTGATCACAGTATGGTTGAATTTAGAATACAGATGGAGAGTGTGAAGATAAAATCCAATACCAGGGTCCTGTGCTTGAACAAGGGGAACTACAATAGAATGAGGGAGGACTTGGCTAAAGTAAACTGGAAACAAAGATTTTATGGTGGGACAGCTGACGAGCAGTGGAGGACTTTCAAAGCAATCTTTCAAAGTGCTCAGCAAAAGTACATTCCAATGAAAAGGAATTACTTTAAGAAAAGGGGTAATCTGCCATGGGTGTCTAAAGAAATAAGGGAGGCTATCAAATTGAAAGAGAAGGCATACAAAGTGGCCAAAAACAGCATGAAACTAGAAGATTGGGAAAACTTTAAAGGTCAACAGAAAGCCACAAAAAGCTATAAGGAAAAGTAAGATAGAACATGAGAAAAAACTAGCACAGAATATAAAGACAGATAGGAAAAGTTTCTATAAATATATAAAACGAAAAAGAGTGGCTAAGGTAAACGTTGGCCCTTTAGAGCATGAGAAGGGGAATTTAGTTATGGGATATGATGAAATGACCGAGGCATTGAACAGGTATTTTGTATCGGTCTTCACAGTGGAGGACACTAATAACATGCCAGTAATTGACAAAGAGACGAAGGTAGGTGAGGATCTGGAAATAATCATAATTACGGAAGAGGTAGTGTTGGGCAAGCTAATGGAGCTAAGTATTGATAAGTCTCCTGGCCCTGATGGAATGCATCCCAGGGTACTAAAAGAGATGGCGGGAGAAATAGCAGGTGCACTGGCGGTAATTTTCCAAAATTCGCTGGACTCTGGGGCAGTCCCAGCAGATTGGAAAACAGCAAATGTGATGCCACTGTTTAAAAAGGGAAGTAGACAAAAGATGGGGAATTATAGACCGGTTAGCTTAACCTCTGTAGTGGGGAAGATGCTTGAGTCTATTATCAAGGAAGAAATAGCAAGGCATCTTGATAGAAATTGTCCCGTTGGGCAGATGCAGCATGGGTTCATGAAGGGCAGGTCATGCTTGACAAATCTTTTGGAATTCTATGAAGACGTTACGAGCGAGGTGGACAATGGGGACCCAGTGGATGTGGTGTACCTAGATTTCCAAAAGGCCTTCGACAAGGTGCCGCACAAGAGGCTACTGCATAAGATAAAGATGCATGGCATTAAGGGTAAAGTATTAGCATGGATAGAGGATTGGTTGACTAACAGGAAGCAAAGAGTGGGGATAAATGAGTGCTATTCTAGCTGGCAGTCAGTAACTAGTGGTGTGTCTCAGGGATCGGTGTTGGGACCTCAATTATTTACAATTTATATAGATGATTTGGAGTTGGGGACCACGTGTAGGGTGTCAAAGTTTGCAGATGACACTAAGATGAGTGGCAAAGCAAAGTGTGCAGAGGACTGTGAAACTTTGTAGAGGAACATAGATACATTGAGTGAGTGGGCAAAGGTCTGGCAGATGGAATACAATGTAAATAAATGTGAAGTCATACATTTTGGTAGGAGTAATAGTAAAAAGGGTTATTACTTGAATGGTAAAAAGTTGCAGCATGCTGCTATGCAGAGGGACCTGGGTGTCCTTGTGCATGAATCACAGAAGGTAGGTCTGCAGGTACAACAAGTAATTAGGAAGGCAAATGGAATTTTGTCCTTCATTGCTGAAGGGATTGAAATTAAAAGCAGAGAGGTTATGTTGCAGCTGTACAAGGTGCTGGTGAGGCCACACCTGGAGTACTGTGTGCAGTTTTGGTCTCCTTACTTGAGAAAGGATGCATTGGCACTGGAGGGGGTGCAAAGGAGGTTCACTAGGTTGATTCCGGAGTTGAGGGGGTTGGCTTATGAGGAGAGACTGAGTAGATTGGATTATATTCATTGGAATTCAGAAGATTGAGGGGGGATCTTATAGAAACATATAAAATTATGAAGGGAATAGATAAGATAGAAGTAGAGAGGATGTTTCCACTGGCAGGTGAAGCTAGGACAAGGGGGCATAGCCTCAAGATTAGAGGGAGCAGATTTAGGACTGAACTGAGAAGGAATTTCTTCACCCAGAGGGTTGTTAATCTATGGAATTCCTTGCCCAGTGAAGTAGTTGATGCTACTTCAGTAAATGTTTTTAAAAAAAAGGTAGATTTTTTTTGAACAATAAAGGAATTACGGGATATGGTGAGAACGTAGATAAGTGGATCTGAGTCCACGAAAGGATCAGTCATGATCTTACTGAATGGCGGAGCAGGCTCGAAGGGCCAGACGGCCTACTCCTGCTCCTAGTTCTTATGTTCTTATGTTCTTATCTAAGGAAGGATATACTGGCACTGAAAGGCAGTCCAAAGAAGGTTCACTCGGCTGGTACCAGGTATAGAGACATTTTCTCCTATGAGACGTTGAGTAAGTTGGGCCTGTTCTCATTAGAGTTTAGACCAATGTGAGGAGGCCTGAACGAAACATGTAAAATTCTTGGGGAGAGTTGGGGGTTTGACAAGGTGGATACAGAAAGGTTTATTTCCGAATGTGGGAGCGTCTAGGAATAGAGGGCATAATCTCACAGTGCGCTGTCACTCATTTAAGTGGGAGATGAGGAGAAATTTCTTCTCTCAGAGGATAATGAATCTATGGAATTCTTTACCACAGAGGGCTGTCGAGGTTGGGTTGATAAGTATATTCAAGGCTGAGAGAGAACATTTTTAATCACTAAATGATTCCAGGATTGTGGGTAAAAGGCAGGAAAGCGGATTTGAAGATTCTCACATCAGCCATGATCTCATACAACAAGATAACTTTAACTTACACCCTTTATTTACAATTCTTGACCAAATACCTAATGGCTTCTATGCAAGTCTACGCAAGATGGCTTACATATCCACCCTATATTTTCAGCTGATGCCCACAGGCCACTACTGTAGTATCACAGTATTTTTCTTCCTTTTGCGGCTAATGCCAGACTGACTGAAACCCAAATAAAAGAATTATTTAGACATCAACCTCAGTTCATGCCTATGTTTTTTATTACCCCTTAAAGCTGCATAAAACTATTCAACACTTCAGAAATCTTTAAATTAGCATCTCATTTAACCGTACCCAATAATACATACAAATCAAGGTTCCACCACTAAAGATATGTACAGTGCAAACTTTATTAATTACACAAATGAGTCAAAGAGGCAAAGTCTGACCAAAGTCATGAGATTCACATCCGATTAATAAATCTGCAACTAAGTGCTAGCCTTAGTAACAGCAACAATCAATAAATTGTCATAAAGACCCAACTGTTTCACTGATGTCCTTCAGGGACAGAAATCTGCCACCTTTAGCTGGTCTGGCCTACACATGACTCCAGACCCACAGCAGTGACATTGATTCTTTGATTCCATTGATGTTAAAGGCAGCGATGGCTATTGGGAGAACGTAGGAATATGTCATTGGGATAGAAAATCAGCCATGATCCTATGGAATAGTGCAGCACGCTTGAAGGGCCGAATGGCCTACTGCTGCTCTTAGATTTTATGTTTCTATGACTCCTGACTGCCCGTAGTTCAGGGGAAATCAGGAAATGGGCAACGAATCTTGCCAGTGGTGCCCCCTTCCCACGAAAGAATAAACACTTCCAACTCCCTTGCTTCCTCCCCTTTCAACCCTGCAAAATCTTTCCCCTTTATGTATTTATCCAGCTCCCTTTGGGAAAGTTACTGTTGGCAACATCTTGTCAGAAACTGTGTTCCCGAACATAGCAATTGGGACGCTGTCCTGTCCGATTAAGTCTCCTGCCACAAGAAACGCTTCCTCCTTAATTATCAATAGTGTAGTGTCCACCAAAAACTGGGACCTCATCACTTCAAACTGTTTCAAAATCCTTTGTGGAACCATTGTGTTGCCCTGTATCTTTGTTTTACTAAAAACTCTCACTTCAGAACAGAAGTCCTGAAATTGACAATCTCTCTCTGACACTGGAGCCGAAAAAAAACATACACTATTTAGACATCCCATCTTTTAGCCTCTCGGATAGATGGAAAAGGTCACTTGGCATTATTTTCAGGAAGAGTTTTCTGGAGGCTTGGCCAATATTCGGCCCTCAGCATTAAAAGCAGATTGGTCTAGGTGCTATCACACTGCTGCCTGAAGGAGTTTAATTGTGCAGAGATTCCTGCTGGGAATACTTACAATGACCATAGGCAGCTCTCTCATGAGAGAGAGAGAGAGAGAGAGAGAGATGGCTGGTAGCGAGTTTAACCTGAGGGTCGCCATTCTGCTGGCACACGGCAATCTGGAGATGGCATAGCCTTCGTGGTGACCTCAGCCTCTGCAGGAATTGATTGGCATCATTCCACCGTTGCCCAGCCAACCGACCTTACGTTACAATGACGGCCACATGTCAAAAAGGACTCTGCTGATTGTGAAATGCTCTGGGGCACTCCGATGTCATGAAAGTTGCTATATAAATAATTTCTTTTAGATTTTTTTGTAGGAGATTGCATCCTGTATAGATCCACCCACTTCTTTATTTCGGCTGATTTGTCACTTCCTTACTGCCTCCGTCAATTCAGCTTGGAAGGAAAAACTTTGCCAACCATTTCCTTTCCTCCATGGCCTCTCTTCTCACCACTGTCGAGGAACGGTGGGCATTGAAAATCAAAGATATGCCCTTGATTGGCAAACACTCCTCTCAGACACATGAAGGCTCGAGAGGCAATAACAATTTAACAACATAATCAGAATAAGTGCTCATCCACTGCTGAGCATGGGCATCAATTCTTTGTCTTCCAGTTGATAGTCAATGCAATTTTTGGTTCCAACTAAGTTGTTGAGAGGTGAAATTCAGGCAAGGTTCACATAAGCATGTAAAATGTAAACGTTTGGTTTTTAATCGCCAACAGAGTGTCAGAAATTATCACACGTGAGCTGGTCCAACAGTTGCCAATAGCCCGGCTAACAATGGGGGAGGTTAGTGTGGTGGTCAGGGCATTTCCTGATCAGAGCTGTCAGAAGAAGGAAGATGAAGAAATGTAGGATGCCTGACCATGTTTGATTAGATGGATGCTTTGCCGAGGTCAAATAGAGTCAGCATCAGAGAATGGTAGAATGAACCAGCACAGGAAGAGGCCATTCAGCTTGTGCTGGCTCGGTGAGACAACTAGCTCTGGTGGCTGGCTATCAACTACCAGAAATTGCTCCAGCTCCTCTTTTGCTGAGTAAATGCTACGCAATTGTTTCCTTAAGATGGTTTTTGAGGAAGCATGGAGGTATATTCTGAGGTTGACCCACCTTGTTACTTGTAATATAGGGAGAATGAAATGAAGGCATCACATTGGAACCCTCATACCAAACAGAAGCTTCTTTAGCTGGTTCAGTATCTGTCGCTGGGTGGCATTTGATGGATTCTTTTGGATTGGCAGGACGGGATCCTGGAATGAAGCAATAATCTCCAATTTGCTTCAGGATTAGTGGTTTGCCTCCTTGTTGGTAGAGGATTACATTGGGAGCATCACTTTGCATGTTATTAAGCAACAGTGTGTCCTCTTTGGATGGAGGTTTCTGGGAGTCTACTTGATGCTTTGGAGGGTAATTAAAGTCTACGCCATTATTAATGGCCGCTGTCCAAGTAAAGTCTACACCCTGCTGCTGGTCACTCGAAAGGCTTGTGTTTCCATCTGCGCTCAATGAGGCCTGCTCAGGAGGAATGTGCGTGGGTCCTGTGAGATCGCTGGGCGGAATACACACATAGTTAACATTGTCGGGCGGTTGCTGAGGTGTGACCGATGGAGTTTTCCGGGAGCCGTCAGTGTGGCTTTGCCGTCCCTGCGTGTTTTCGTCGCCCACCGTCGGAATAAAGCGCCATGTCTCTAACTCCCCATCGGGATCTGTTGGCGGTCGGGTGGTCGGTGGGTATGCCATCCCGTCCACCCATGGATCAGCCTGGCTTGAACCGGATTGGCCCGCGTCATTTTCACGGATGTAGCCGGAGTGTGCTTCTCTCGGAAACTTCGGGCTGGAGCTTGACACTGGGGGGCACAGGACATAACTGGAAATGGAGGGCTGTTGTCCCAACGCTAGTTGGCTCAAGGTAGCCTCTGTGGCATTGCCAGTGCCGACGTGATAACCAGCTGGATTCGGGACATCCGGGCTGGGTTGTGGAGTGTTGAGAACGTAAGCAGACGTTGGCAAAGGTGGTGTCGTTCCACCATTTGCCTGGTCCAAATGTGGGCTTTCCCCTGGAAGTTTCACATATCCAGGAGGCCCTGTTATGCATTCGAAACGTTTCTCACACCCATGATTTAGTTCTGAACAGAACTCAGACCCAGAAGATATAGCTTGGTAATTGAACAAATACGGGCCGTTGTAATCAGATAGGTCACTCGGAAACATCGGGAAGTTGGAGAAACCTTCCTGAGAAGATGGGTTCGCTCCAAAAGCAGGGTACAACTGCTCGTGAGCATCTTGGCTTCGAGTCAGCAGAGGGGATGAGCTGGCTTTCTCCTTTTCCATCTGGAGAGATGCGGCTTCCTCCCTGTTATCGGAACAAATTAAAAGGTCACAAGGCAAGGTCCTCTGCTGTTAATCCCCATTCATTTCTGAAACTTAAATACAGTCAGACTGCATACAAAGTGCTTCACCTCACACTTTTCTGCATTGAACCTCATATGACACCTACTCGCCCACTCCACCAACTTGTCAGTGTCCTTTCGGTGATCCCACAATGCCCTCCTCCATATTTACAAATCTTCCCAGTTTACTGTTATCTACAGACATTCAAACTGACCCCTGTACACCAAGCTGAGTGTGATAGATTGAGAAGAATAGCAGTGGAGATTGTGACAGTGAGGTGTCTTGGCACACCAAGATTCATTCCCGTCATCCTGCATGGAGGAGAGATCTACAGCAAATATCTGTCTACTTACGCTGATACCCTCACTGGCTCAATCAGAATGGTGTCTTAGTGGGGAGAAGACAGTGTGAGTGGTGTATCTCAATCTGCCTCTTGTACTAAGTCCCAGTGAATAAATGAACACAAAACGATAGCAGGACCCTGGATGAAAGAAGAGGACTTACTTAGAAATGACCTGAGGAGATATCTCCTCTGTCTCATCAGGCACCACTTGGCAGATGTTGCCTTCTTCCAGAGTAACAGTCCCCACGGGGACCAAATATCCAAGAATCCCTGTCTAGAAGGAGAAAGAAGCAGATCCAAATCAACACAGGGTGACTGTGGTGCATGGGCTTTCTCACTGTCCCAATAATCCAACAATGCAGGCTAACACTCTGGGGGAACACGGATGTAAATCTCACTCTGGTAGCTGGTCAAGTTTCAAGTCTGGAAGTTGAAAACTGTTCTCAATGGCCGTGAAGCTATCATCAATTGTCATTAAATATCCATCCAGTTTACTAATTCCCTTTGGGGAAAGAAATCAGCCATCCTTACCCGGTCTGGCCAACATCTGACTGCACACCCACAGCAATGTGGTTGGCTCTGATCTGCCCTCTGACATAGCCTTGTAAGCCAATGAGTTCAGAGCAATTTGAATAGATAACAAACACAACCCATCAGAGAATTCAAAGAAATGGATCCCCCACTGACTGAGCTTCCAATGTGCCCCAGGGTGTCTGCCAACATGACATGGTGCAGATGATAAATCACAGTGTTCCCATGCTTCCTGAGCAAGGTAGATCCTTCGAAACCCAGTGGTGTTTCTTGATTTGATGAGCAAGTCAGCTGATAGCATTTAGAACAATATAATTGGTCTTCATGGTGCTACTGTTGGGGAGATGGTGTAGTGTCAACGTCACTCAGTGAGCAAACTAGCAACCCTAGGATAATGTTCTGGGGGCATGGGTTCAAATTCACACTGTAGCAGGTACTAACATCTGAATTCAAGGAAAACCTCCATCTGGTTCCCTGATATCCCTTAGGGCGGGAAATCTGCCATCCATACCCGGTCCAGTCTACATAACAAGGTGGCTGACTCTTAACTGCCCCATGGACAATGAGGGATGTACAATAAACGTTGGTCTGGCCTGGCTAGAGACACTGACATCCCATGAACGCATAAAAAAAAAAGTGTGGGATAGGGAATATTATCAATTGATTTTGATTCATTTGTTCATGGATTGTGGATATCACTGACAAGGCCAACTCGTATTGCCTCCCTTGAGAAGGTGCGGGAGACCTGCTTTCTTGAAGCCATCACATGGAGGTCCTGACACCCATTCTGCTGAGTAGTTACCAACCAACTCCATTGCCACGGACCTCAAGATCAATGGAAGGCAAACTTCATAAGGATGGCAAATTTCCTTCTGTAAAGGATACTTGTGAAACAAATGAATCTCCATGACAATCTGGTAGCTTCACTGTCACTATTAGGGGGTCCAGACTGTTTTAGATTTCTTAACCAAAAGAAATTCCCCATCTGCCACAGGGAGATTGAACTGTTGCCACTGATTCTAACTCCAGGCCTTTAAATTGAGAAGCTTCCATATAATCATTAGGATACGGGATCTAAGCATCGACTGCACAAAACTGGATGATGTACCAGATGAATGATCAGGATGTGCCAGCTTTTAAATGACTGAAACAGGTCAGGATCGACTGGGAGGTACAGACTGTGACTGTCCGTGAGCACAATTTGTGTCTTCACATCATAAATGGCTGAATGGTATTAACACCAGACTACGTCCAGACTGGGAACCCAGGTTTGAATCCCACCTAGGCAGATGATGGAATTAGAATTCAATAAAAAAAAATCTGGAATTAAGAATCTACTGATGACCACAAAACTATTGACGATTGTTGGAAAAGCCATCTGGCTCGCTAATGCCCTTTAAGGAGAGAAATTTGTCACCCTCACCTGGTCTGGCCTACATGGGACTCCAGATCAACATCAATATAGTCGAGAGATAGTAAGAACTGCCGATGCTGGAGTCAGAGATAACACAGTGTGGAGCTGGAGAAACACCGCAGGCCAGGCAGCATCAGAGGAGCAGGAAAGCTGATGTTTCAGGTGGGACCTTTCTTCAGAAATCTGAAGAAGGGTCCTGACTCGAAATGTTGACCCTTCTGCTCCTCTGATGCTGCCTGGCCTGCTGTGTTCCTCCAGCTCCACACTCTGTTATCAATATAGTTGACTCTTAATTGTCCCCTTAAAGGGCTTAGCAAGCCACTCAGTTCGAGGGCAGCTAGGGATGGTCAATAAATGCTGGCCACCCAGCAACACCCATGTCCCATGAGTCAATATTAAAGATAAACAGTAGAGGACGCACCATAACAATGAAACATTATCTGTCTGTCAGCATTTGCAGAGAGGGAAACAAGTAACATTTCCACTCCAACACTATTCTCCTTCAGACATGTCCAGAACATCTCCAGTTTGGAAGGAGACCACTAGACTTAGAGTCATTGAGACATAGAGATGTATAGACGGAGACAGACCCTTCAGTCCAACTCGTCCATGCCGACCAGATATCGCTAAATTGGTGACTTGAAACATTAACTCTGTCTCCAGCTGTAGCTGCATCTGCTGAGTTTCTCCAACACTTCCTGTGTTCTGAATGGCCCACATAGGAGCTGAAGTGGGCCATTCAGCCCCTTCAGCCTGCTTTCTCATTCTAGCTCATGGATAGATCTCCAGCATCCGCAGTATTTTGTTTTCGGGTGAAGCGCTGTTACCTGGTTCTGTTTCAGGAAAAGCTTGCTCTTTGCTGGGTCAGGGATACTGTCCAACCAGGACTTCTTTTTTCTTTAACATGTTGAACAAACAAACATACAATCATCATTACTGAATTAAAAAGAGTGGAGGTATGAGAGTTTTAGTCATACAGATAACTGCATTGAATAACGTTCAGGCCACGCGACACAATGTCTCTACATCAGTAGTTACACCTCACACAAGTCTCTCAATAGCCCACATTACCTCAAGCAGCCCATATTACCTCACTCCTACCCATCTATTTCTTTTTCCTTTCTCAGTTTTCCCATCTACGTGTAGATGTTCTTCACATTTACTGTTCCATGAGGTAATGTGTTGCACGTTAAGATGTAGGAACACAGGAACTTATAAGGAGAGGCTGTATAGGCTGGGACTTTTTTCATTGGAATATAGGAGGTTGAGAGTTTATAAAATCTTCCAGGGGGTATAGTTAAGTTGAATGGCAGGTGTCTTTTTCCTAGGGTGGGGGATTTCAATAATAGGGAGCATATCTTTATGCTGAGAGGATAAAGAATTAGAAAAAAACATGGTGGCAATTTTTATTTACACAGAGGGTGGTTCATGTGTGGAATGAACTTCCAGAGGAAGTGGTGGGTGTGGGTACAGTTACAATGTTTAAAAGACATTTGGATAAGTACATGAATAAGAAATGTTTGGAGGGATATGGGCCAAGCGCAGGCAGGTGGGACTAGTTTAGTTTGGGATTACGTTCGGCGCGGACTGGTTTGGCCAAAGGGTCTGTTTCTGAGCTGTACGACTCTATGACTCTGTAAGTGGAGTTGGCCATTCAGCCTTTCAGCCTGCTTTGCCATTCAAGAACATGACTGTTCATCCACCTCCCCATCAGTTTCCCACACTATTCTGTATCCCTGGATACTGTAGGTGAGTAGATGTTTATCAACGTCTACATCCCTGCGCACTCCAAGTAACCTTTTGTCTCCTAGGTCATAAAGAATCTCTGCCTTAAAAATATTTAAACATTTTGCATTGACTACCTTTTGAGGCGGGGAACGCCAAAGGCTCTTAACCCTCTGACAGAATCAATGCTGTTCACCTCTACTGTTCCTCTACTAAGGTTCCACCTTAGTCACATAGGAACATAACAGCTGGAGTGGGCCACTCAGCCCCTTCAGCCTGCTTTCCCATCCTAGATCATGGCTGATCCTTTACCAAGTTGTCATTTCACAGATCTCCATAACCTTGGACATTATTTGTAACTGAGGGTCAATTGATGTTTGTTTGAATATTCTTTTTTATTCATTTGTGAGACATGGGCATTGCTGGCTGGGCCAGTATTTATTGCCTGTCCCTGGTTGCCCCCTTGACAAGGTGACAGTGAGCTGTCTTCTTGAACCGCTGAAGTCCATGTGCTGTGGGTTGACCCACAACGTCCCTTAGGGAAGGAATTCCAGGATTTTGACCCAGTGAAACTGAAGGAACAGTGATATATTTCCAAGTCAGAATGGTGAGTAGCTTGGAGGGGAACTTGCAAGGGGTGGTGTTCCCATGTATCCGTTGCCCTAGTCGTTCGAGATGGAAGTGGTTGTGGGTTTGGAAGGTGCTGTTTGAGGATCTTTGGTGAATTTCTGCAGTGCATCTTGTAGACGGTACACACTGCTGCTACTGAGCGTCGGTGGTGGAGGGAGTGAGTGCTTGTGGATGTGGTGCTAATCAAGCGGGCTGCTTTGTCCTGGATGGTGTCAAGCTTCTTGAGTGTTGTTGGGGCTGCACTCATCCAGGCCAATGGGGAGTATTCCATCACACTCCTGACTTGTGCCTTGTTGAAAGTGGACAGGCTTTGGGGAGTCAGGAGGTAAGTTACTCACCGCAGTGTTCCTAACCTCTTCCTTGCTCTGTATTTATATGGCGTGTCCAGTGAGTTTCTGGCAATCCCCTGGGTGTTGATTGTCTGGGAATTCAGCGATGGTCACACAATTGAAGGGGAGGCGGTTAGACTGTCTCTTATTGGAGATGGTCATTGCCTGGCATTTGTGTGGCCATAAATGTTACTTGCTACTTATCAGTCCTCATAGTCAATAACTCAGCAAGAATTCCAAGTAGTCACCACCGTCTAAGAAGTTCCCCTTCATCTCAGATCAAAATGGCTCACCTTTTATTTCAAGGCTGTGACCCCTGGTTCAAGACCCACACTGGGAGGGCAAACATCCTTTCCTGCCGACAAAATTCTTGAAGGGATAGACAGGATGTAAGTTCCTATGAGATTGCCTTGTATTCATCTAAACTCCAGGGAGTACAGGACTATTGCCTACCCTCTCCCTCCTCAAAGGACAGCCTCACCAGCATGGGCATCAGTCTGGTGAGCATCCTCTCTCACCCTCTGGTGAAAGGGCTTTTCCCTGAATTCCTTATTGGAGCTGTGAGTGATCATCTCATGCTCAGATTTGAGTGACCACAGAAAGTGAGCAGCAGGGACTCAGAAAACGCTTCTACCACCAGACATGCTTGTTTCATCAGCTCAGGAGTTCCCTGGTTAAGAAGTTGGTTTCCTGACAGTTTGTAAATTGATTCTAACCGAGTGCTCACAAGTATGGAGCAGAAGATACACAAGCTGGAGTCTAAGTGAAGACTTTGGATGGTTTATTTATAAAAATAAGGATATGTTTAAAAAAAAATGTGATTTCCTGTTGTTGTGAAGCCTGGAAGTGGGGAGAGGGGTATAGTTTTCGAAGAAAGGTGAGCCATTTAGGATGGAGCTGAGGGAACTTACTCATAGATTCCATACAGTGTGGAAACCAGGCCCTTCGGCCCAACAAGTCCACACCGACCCACAAAGCATCCCATCCAGACCCATCCCCCTATAACCCACATCATCTGCACGTCCCTGAACACAATGGATAATTTAGCATGGCCAATCCACCCAACCTGCACATCTTTGGACTGTGGGAGGAAACCGGAGCAAACTTGACACAGACAGTTGCCGGAAGTTGGAATCAAATCTGGGTCCCTAGTGCTGTGAGGCAGCAGTGCTAACCACTGAGCCACCGTGCCACTTCACTTAGAGGGTGGTGACCATGTTGGAGGTTGAGTCATTGATTGAATTCAGGACAGACCTCTAACGATTCCCAGTTACTGGTGATATCAAGGCGTATGGAGGTGGTGTGTGAATATGGTAGTGAGGTAGATGATCTCGGATGGAAGGGGCTGAATGGCCTACTTCTGCTCCAATGCTCCTATGTCTCTGAGGTGGAACCCGCTACCTCAAGGAACAGTGGAAGTGAATAGCATTGATGCATTGAAGGGAAAATAAGGCTGAGAAGAGAGAGGGAAGGAGGGAATAAAGAGATCAGAATGAGAAGGGGGCAGAGGAAAGTGGAGGGCTTGAAATCCTGATGACTCATCTTCCAATTGTCTCCATTTAAAAGCTTTCATTATCAATGCTACCACCTTGTAGAATCCCCTCAGTGTGGATGCAGGCCATTCAGTCCATCAAGTCCACACCGACCCTCCAAAGAGCATCCCATTCAACCCACCTCATCCCTGCAACCCTGCATTTTCCAATGGTTAACCCACCTAGCCTGCACATCCCTGGACACTAGGGGGCAATTTAGCATGGCCAATCCACCTAACCTGCACATCTTTGGACTGTGGGAGGAAACCAGAGCGCCCATAGGAAACCCACGCAGACACAGGGAGAATTTGCAAACTCCACACAGACAGTTGCCTGAGGGTGGAATGGAACCTGGGTCCCTGGTGCTGCGAGACAGCGGTGTTAACCACTGAGCCGCCGTGCTGCACCTCAATAGATACTTACAAAAATGTTCATGGAATATCAAGATTAGTCCATGATGATCACAGAACAAAAGCATGGGTTTCATTGGTAAAATCCCACAGATCTATTGGCTATCAGCCAGCAATCTAACTGAATAGATTCAGATAGTTAATAAAAAACAAAGGAACAAGATATTTTACCTTTGTATCAGGCAGAAGAAGGGGCGAATAAAAAGGATTAAAACCATCAGAATTATAACTGCCGCGATGATGACTATCTTGTTATCTAAATGAAAAATAAACAAAAGAAAAGGCATTGGAAGAAATGTTAATTAGATTGTCATTTTAATGATTCGTAAGAGTGTTACACTATGATGTGATCGTCACTGTGCTGACTGTGGCCCATTGATTGTATGATCAGTGTTACTGCACTGTGTTTTAAGCCCCATAGTCGACATGATAATGATCAATTTGAATTGAATTAGCTTTATTGTCACATGTACTCATGTGAGTACAGTGAAAAGTTGACAAGTCACCACTTACAGCACCATCTTAGGTACGTAGGTACCGAGGTACAGATTCTTGAGGACAAATGCTTAGGGAAAATAAATAGAAAAAATTAAGTATTAAAAATTCCAGCATTACACAATTTCAAAAGTACAAATCACAGTAATAAATTAGAAACATAAAGAAATAAAAAGTACAGATTAACTGTGCTTCCACCATACTATAACAAAGTTTATAGCTCTAAGTGGGAAGCTCCTGTTCATTGGAAATGGTATTGTGGTGTTTTTGCATGAGAGATGGTTTAACTTCTGGCAATTTAGTTTTGCCATCTGTTTAGAGTCTACTACTTGGTATCTAAATGATACCAGAGTACTGTTCACTGCTTGTTCATACCTTGTTCACTGACATCTGTTGGTTCCAAGTCCACCAACTTTTCCAACTGAAAACTTGCATCCCTCCCAAGTCTCACCCCTCTTTATCTCTGTAACTTCTTCAAACTCTGCAAGCTTCTGAGATCTCTGTGTTACTCAAATCTGTGATGTGGAGGTGCCGGTGTTGGACAAAGTCAGAAATCACACAACACCAGGTTATAGTCCAACAGGTTTATTTGAAATCACAAGCTTTTGGAGCGCTGCTTCTTGGTCTAGTTAATGTAGACTTCACCTGACGAAGGAGAAGCGCTCCGAAAGCTTGTGATTTCAAATAAACCTGTTGGACTATAACCTGGTATCGTGTGGCTTCTGACTTACTCCAATCTGGCTTTGAAATTTATTAAGTTTTACTTTGATGTGAAGAACATTTATCTATATGCCTTTGTTACCTCAAGACTTGACTCTTGCAATGCACCATTGTCTGCTCAGCCATATTAAGCTTGAGGTTGTCCAAAATGTTGCTGCCTGTGTCTTAACTTGCACCAAACTCCACTCCCTAACATAGTTGTGCTCACTGGTCATATAATGCCTTGATTTTAAATTTTCATTCTCATTTTCAAATCCCTCCATGAACTCGTACCTCCCTATATCTGTGATCTTCCCTAGCCCTGCAAGATCTTTGTGTTCCTCTAATTCTGCCTGTTGTCCCTCACTAAGTTTGATTGTTCCACCATCTATGGTTGTGCCTGGGTCCAAAGCTCTGGAATTCCCTCCTGCCACCTCTTGGCCTCACTTTCCTCCTTAAAATTTGCCCTCCTTCAAAACCACCTCTTTGTACAATCTTTTGATCACCTGACTATTGTCCCTTTCTGTAGCTCAGTGCCATATTTTACTTTATATTGATTCTGTGATGTGCTTTTTTCAAAAATTCACACACCAGTTGTGGGCGTCTCTGGCTGGGCCCAGCATTTATTGCCTGTCCCTAGTTGCCCTCGAGGAGGTGGTAGTGAGCTGCCTTCTTGAACCGCTGCAGCCCACAAGGGGTAGGGGCACCCAGTGTTGTTAGGGACAGAGTGTGAGTTTGACCAAGCGACAGCGAGGGAATGGTATTGCGTCTCTGGGCTAGTAATCCAGAACCACAGACGAATGCTCTGGAGGCGTGGTTTCAAATCCTACCCAGGCCAAAGGTGACATTTGAATTCAACAAAACTCTGGAAAAAGAAGCTGTCTGATGGTTGCTATGTCAATTGGGTTGCCAATTAGGGAAGACATGTGACTCCGAACCCACAGCAATGTGATTAGATCTTAACTACCCTCTGGGCAATTAGGGATGGACAATAAATGCTGGTCTATCCAGTGATGCCCTCATCCCATAAGCAAAATTTTTTCAAAGTCAGGATAGTGAATAACTTGAAGGGGAAACGTACCAGTGTGTGGCTTTGCTATACATCCTTTGCTGATGGTGAAGGAAGAATCATAGGATCCCTACAGTGTGAAAGCAGGCCATTCAGCCCATCGAATCCACACTGACCCTCCGAAGAGCATCCCAACTTGACCCACACCCTTACCTTATCCCTGTAACCCATTGCTAACCCACCTAACCTGCACATCCCCGAACACTACACGCAATTTGACGTGGCTAATCCACCCTAACCTGCACATCTTTGGACTGTGGGAGGAAACTGGAACACCCGGAGGAAACCTATACAGACGCGGGGAGAATGTGCAAGCTCCACATAGACAGTTGCCCGAGGGTGGAATCTAACTCGGTCCCTGGTGCTAGGAGGCAGCAGTGCTAAAATCACTGAGCCATTATGCTGACCTTGCCTTTCAAGTGGGTAAAGGGCGTGGGTTTGGAAGCTACTACCGATGGCTGTTGTTGTTGTTGTTGGCACAATCAGTGCAAGGAGAAACTCTACGAGAATACAGTTGCATTTTGACCACATACCAGGCTCCGTGTGAAATGAAACTTCTTCGCTCCAGTCGCTCCATGGTCCACAGTAAGAATGGGGACCTTGTCGACATTTCACCTTTGCTCTCACTCTGACAACATAGTGACTGGATGCCTCCAGTGAATTCTTTTGGATTTGGAAGGATTTGGTGTCTTGAGGAATTTTCAGCACTTTGAAATTCTGGCAGAAGAGAATGATGTGTTATTCCATGTTGCAATTTTCTCCAGTTTGGAAGCACTGTTTGAATTTATCACCAACGTATTAAATGGAGGAATAACGGCACTGTTTATGTTTAAGATAACACAGTCTGGAGTTCCTGTGTTATCTCTGATTCCGGCATCGGCAGTTCTTACTATCACTGTTTACGTTTAGTTCAGTTACGGGTCATTCGTCATTACGTTTGAAATTTAATCGGCCTAATTATGTAGTTAATTATTTAATTGGGGTGGCACGGTGGCTCAGTGGTTAGCTCTGCTGCCTCACAGAGCCAGGGACCTCGGTTCGATTCCACCTTCGGGTGACTGTGTGTGTGGAGTTTGCACATTCTCCCCGTGTCTGAGTGGGTTTCCTCCCACAGTCCAAAGATGTGCGGGTTAGATGGATTGGCCATGCTAAATTGCCCCATAGTGTCCAGGGATGTGTAGGCTAGGAGGATTAGCCATGGTTAATATGGGCTTATGGAGGTAAGTTGGAAGTGCATCTAGGTGGGATGCTCTTCAAAGGGTCAGTGCAGGCTCAGTGGGCCAAATGGTCTCTTGCTGCACTGTAGGGATTCTATGATTTAAACTGCCACCCAATTATTCCCTCCAAAACCAGCAAAGATGCTGTTCTGGCATTTAACATCTTTGTACCCTTTCTAATACTCCCTTACACACTCATGGACATGCATGCACAAGTGCTAAAGTATGCACACAAACCTCACGCAAATAAATATGCTTGTGCACATGTACTTTGCATAAAAATCGCCCATTGGCAATTTTACAAATGCACAGGTTTTACAATTACCCACAAGATCTCACGCACACACATTTCCTTACTAACTTAAACTCATGATTCAGACGGCTCTCACATGTACCCACAGATGTACATACTTGTAGTGAAATGTGTGCTGGCAAAAGCCTTTCTTTACCCTCGTACAATGTCCCTTTAAGACCAAAATTGACTGGACAGTATTCTGAAATTTCCTGATCATGACATCATTGCATTCCAAGAAATGCATATGTAATTTGAAGTTACTCTGCCAACAGCAAAGTAGCATTCGGTAAGCAGAAGGCTACTTGGTTCAGCCAATGTTTTTGACTTTGACATTTTGGAATACACTGAGTATTTGTGCAAAGAGGGAACAAATAAGGTTCTCTCCAAATGAAACACTTTGACAGTCTTTGAAAAAATCCTGGTGTTGAAGCAGGTCGCTAGGAATGGAGACGAGACTGTTACTGTGTGTGATAACCAGTTGGAAAGAGCAGAGAGAGAGACATGGAGAGGAGCAAGGGTCTGTGGATTGGACAAGTTCTCATTGCTGTGATTTCAGTGTTGGCAAAGTCCACCAGAGTTGGAGAAAGGAATATCTAATGATTTTGTGCCTTCAGGGTTGTGGTGGCACAAGTGAAAGAAGGATCGTAGATGTGTGCTTCGCCAATGTTGACTCTGTCTGGGGACATTGGATGGAATAGGGCAGCTGGTGAATACAACTCAAGGGCTGAAATGCTTGAGTGGGAAGTGAGAAACTGTGAACAAAGCGAAGGCTTATTGTGAAAGACTGAGATTACGTGTGGCCCTATATTTGTATGGGAACTAAAAGGAATGCTTGTGAGGCATCTTGTGTAGTTCAAGTGCAATATGCCTTTGTATTTGCAATATCCTTCAACTATTAATTAATGTTTGAGTTATGTTGATTTCAGTCAGTTCATTACACTGTAGGAGCAGGAGTGGCCATTCGGCCCTTCGAGCCTGCACAAACATTCAATACGATCATGGCTGATCATGCAATATCCCATTCCCGCTTTCCCTCCAAGGTTTTAAGAAATGAAATCCCTGTCCATGGGTTTTCTTTCCATCGCCTTTGTGGGGATTTCCTCGCTTGCAGAGTTATCGGTCTCTCTAGCGATCAACAAGCATGCACAAGGCCAGCTCACACAGAAGCAGAGACACAGACACACAAGGTAAACAGTACTGCAAACCTGTCACCTTCACCAATATACGATCTCAACTGACCTCCCAAGAATCTTCAGCCTTCTTGTAATGTATTTCATATTCGGAATTAAATTGAGCCTTCTTAGTGAGCCAGTCCAATTGATACCTCTCATCCGGCAGCTGTTTTATGGTCAAGTTGAAAGGGGCCTTTGGTTTTACTAATAATAAGAGACATAAAATAGACAAGATTTCACAAAATGTTGAGACTTTGATTTATAACAGAACAGCTGTGATGGATATTAACATTCCAGAAACAGAACATCCCAATACTCTCCAACACTCCTCTTTCTATTATAGGATAATTTGGACTCCAGCACTGTTCTTCAATACGGAAATTAAGTGTAGAGTTAATATTTGCAGTGAGCTGTCCCTTTCTGCCCTATCGAAGATGCTGATGCGTTTCTTGTATGCTCTGAGAGAGTGTTGGTTAGCACAGTTGGCTGGAGAGCTGGTTTGCAATGCAGAGTGATGCCAACAGCATGGGGTTATTCCCTGCAACAATTGAGGTCACCATGAAGGGCCTTCCTTCTCAACCTCTCCCCTCACCCAAGGCGTGGTGACCCTCAGGTTAAACCATCACCATCTACCTCTAAGGAGAGAGGTCTGGTCAGACAGTGGTACTTTACCTGTACCCTACCCTGAGACTTCAGGTGGAATCTACTTTGGGTGATGGGGGTCTTAGCTCCATTGGTTTGGAGAGGCAGCTAGGGTTCCACTTTGTCCCGTTTGGGGAAGGACCACTGTATTAAGCTCTGTAGCTCCGGTCAGGCACTTTGAGAGGCCAACAATGAGCTTTCCCGGGTCTGAGGGCCCTGGGAGCTGTTGGCCAACCAAACAGTGCAAACCTTTCAGTGGCACGTTTGGGAGAGAAAGGGCCTCTGATTGGAGGACCAGCACAGTCATACCAACTTTTGACCATATCCCCTTAACCCACATTTACCATGACTAACTTGGACACTACAGGACAATTTAGCATGGCCAATTCACCTAACCGGCACATCTTTGGACTGTGGGAGGAAACCGGAGCACCCAGCAGAAATGTGGAGAATGTGCAAACTCTACGCAGACAGTCGTCTGAGGGTGGAATTGAACCTGGGTCCCTGGCACTGAGCCACCGCACCTCTCTTCATGGTAGCTGAGTTTGTTGACCTTGCAAAGAGAGGGCCATGAGAGTCAGTATAACGCTGTAAATCTTTCAGGAAAAGAGCAGGGGGAAAGAAAGGGAAGGAAATGGGGCCAGAAATTCGGAGACACCCATTCGGCCACTAACACTGAGGGTCTTCCTTTTTGTTGTGGAGGTGAAAATTTCTCAAATTAAGGAATTTGGAACACCACTCTATTGGGGCAGGTGGACATGGAGAACCCCTTAAAAGGTGATGGAGTTCTGCCTTGGGAAGAAATCCCCTCTGAAACTGGCCACTTGTCCTGTTCTGGATCCTCAATGCCCAGTTTGGGGATTGCAGCTGCTCTCAATAGCCTGTCTTCCGATGGGCTGAATGGCGCTGGCTATGTGTGATAAATGAGAAAGGGCAGACAGGAGAAGACCACTTTTCTATCAGGGTCTGCAGTGCAGTCAGGACCAAATACTGCAGCACTCCCCTCTCCATTCCAACTCTCTTTTCCATCCCACAGCCGTCAAATCCTCACAGAGAGGCAAGCTGCAGAAACTGGGATGAAAAAGGTCGTGTGTCACAAGGGAAAAGGAATGTTCTGGGAAATTTCTCTTTGAGTCTGATCCCAAGTGAGAAGAGCCATTCGAGAAGTTTACATATTATCAATGAAGAGAATCCAGTCGCAGTGAAGAAGTCACCCAAACTCATAGAGCTATGGAGTCATACAGCACGGAAACAGACCCTTTGGTCCAACCAGCCCGTGCCGACCATAATCCCAAACTAAACTAGTCCCACCTGCTCGCGCTTGGCCCATATCCCTCCAAACCTTTCCAATCATTAACTTATCCAAATGTCTTTTAAGCATTGTAACTGTACCCGCATCCATCACTTTCTCTGGCAGTTCATTCCACACATGAACCATTCTCTGTGCAAAAAAGTTGCTCCTCATGTCCTTTTTTAAATCTTTCTCTTCTAACCTTAAAATAAGTCCCCTAGTTTTGAACTCACCCACCCTAGGGAAATTACCCTTGATATTCACCATATCTACGCCCTTCATAATTTTATAAAACTCAATATGGTCACCCCTCAAATCTCCTATTCTCCAGTGAAAAAAGTCCCAGCCTTTCCAGTCTATTTTTATATCTCAAATCCTCCATTTCAGGCAAATCTCTTCTGAACCCTCTGCAGTTCAATAATATCCTTCCTATAACAGGGAGACAAGAACTGCACACAGTACTCCAGAAGAGGCCTCACCAACTTTGTGTACAATCTGAACATGATGTCCCAACTCCTATACTCAAAGGTCTGAGCAATGAAGCCAAGTACACTAAACACCTTCTTAACCACCCTGTCTACATGTGATGCAAATTTCAAAGGATTATGTACCTGAACCCTAAGGTCTGTCTGATCTGCAACTCTACCCAGGGCCCTACCATTAACTGTAGAAATCCTGTCCTTGTTTGTTTTACCAAAATGCAATACCTCACATTTATCCAAATTAAACTGCATCTGGTATTCCTCAGTCCATTGACACAATCGAACAAGATCCCTTTGAAATCTTAGAAGGATGAGGACGTAACTGCGTGTAGCAAAGAACAAAAAAAACACAGGAATTTAGTTTGGGTCATCACTTGGGAAGACGTCCAGGTGGATTCAGGATATTGACTTGACACTGAAGTTCTGAGGAAGGATCACTGAACCTGAAACATTAACTTTGATTTCTCTCCACAGATGCTACCAGACCTGCTGAGCCTTTCCAGTAATTTCTGTTTTTGTAACTGACTTGACATCTTCTATTACCCCAGGAAACTGACAGGCTCTGCTTTCAGTGGAATTTCAGATCAAATGTTCACAAATGAACTGCACAGTAAATGTGAAACTAAAACAGTGAACTCACTGTTGTTATAGGGTTTAAATACTACTGATGGCTCAACAATCTTCAGGAACACCTCATAGTCATCCATGACCTCCTGATTGTTCACAGGAATGCTACAGCGATGAACAGTGAGATGTTTAAACATCTGTAATATCCCTGGATTCTCACACTCCTTGGTCCTGCAGATTAAGAAAGGTCGGTCAGCATGATTGGACAGACTCGCGCCGTGGCAAAAACAAAAACTTGCATTTGTATAGCTCCTTTCAGGACAGCCCAAAGCACTTTGCAGCCAGTGGAGGACTCTTGAGGTAAAACTGTGGATGCCAGGAGAGATCTGATACAAACAGAAACAGAAGGTGCTGCAGAAACACAGCAGGTCTGTGGGGAGAAAGCACAGTTAATGTTTCGAGTCCTAGTGACCCTTCTTCAGAACTGGGCTCAGAATATTAACTCTGTTTCTCTCTCTCTCTCCACAGATGCTGCCAAACCCAGTGAGTTTCTTCAGTACCTCCTGTTTTGTGAGTTTAAGTACTTTTGAAGGGTAGACTTTAGTGTACTGCACAAAACATTACAGCTGATTTGCAAAACCACAAGCTGCAATGTGTTCGTGACCAGATAGTCTGTTTCAGAGATGACTGAGGGATAAATATTGCCAAGGACATGGTGAAAAGTCAGCCCTTTCTTCAACTAGTGATTTGGTTTGATTTATTGATGTCACATGTACCTAAGTCAGTGAAAGTTTTGTTTTGCATGCAGTACAAGCAGATGTCATTGATCGAACAGAGCGAGGAATACAAAGTTACAGCTGCAGAGAAGGTGCACGAAAAGTGAGTTCAATATGAGATTTGAAATTTGAGAGGTCCATTCAGAAGTCTAATAACAGCGGGCAGAGTGTGTCTCGGAGTGATAATCAAAAAAACAGGACACTCGATACTTCAACACTCCCTCAGTAGTGCAACAGATCTTCAGATTCGACTTTGTATTCAAACCCTGAGGAAATACATGAATTTACGACATTCTGACACAGAGATGAGAATGGCCATATCTGTCACTCTGTAAGGTGGGAGAGCTGGAGGAAGGGTAGTGTAGTGATTGTAACAGGTCAGCCAGTGGACCCACAGAATCTTAGTTCCCTGATTGGGGCTGTTAATCTGGTCCTGTTCACTCTGAGGGCTGGCTCTGAGCTAACTGGGTCAGTGTCAAGGACTCTGTATGTGTAATTAAAAGGTGATGTGGTGACAGGATACCAGCCTCTGTGGAGATATTTCAGGAAGGATTTAAAGATAAGGTTTAACCCATTCAACTTACACTGTGGCCCGTGTTCGAGTCCAAATATATTGAACAGAGCAAGAAGTGTACAGTTTCAGTTCCTGGACTGTGCTAAATTTACTGTTTTCTGACTGTCTACTTCCTTCAAATATTCACAAGGGAAAGTAGAATCAGTGGGGGTGGCTGTGGCGTCATGATGACATGACTGGACCACCAATCCCAAGTACTAAGGTAATGTTCTGAAGGTCATGGGTTCAAACCCTACCATGGTAGATGATGAAATTTGAATTCAATAAAGTCTGGAGCTGAAAAAAAAAAGTTAACCTAATGGTAACAATTGTCATTAAAAACCCATCTAGATTTACAAGGATGTTGCAGAGGTTTGAGCTATAGGGAGAGGCTGGGAATTATTTTTCTCGGAGGCTGAGGGATGACCTTATAGAGATTTATGAAATCGTGAGGGGCATGGATAGTGTGAATAGTCAAGGTCTTTTCCCCAGGGTAGGGGAATCTAAAACTAGAGGGCGTAGGTTTAAGGTAAGAGCAAAGATTTAAAAGGAACATAAGGGGCAAACTTTTCACGCAGAGGATGGTGCGTATATAGAATGAACTGCCAGAGGAAATGGTGGAGGCTGGTACAATAACAACATTTAAAAAGCATCTGGATGGGTACATGAATAGGAAGGGTTTAGAGGGTTATGGGCCAAATGCTGGCAAATGGGACTAAATTAATTGGCATGGACGAGTTGGACTGAAGGGTCTGTTTCAATGCTGTACATTTCTACAACTCAATGACTACAATTTTTAGGAAGGATATCACCATCCTTACCTGGTCTGGCCTACATGTGACTCCAGACCCACAGCAATGTAGTTGACTCTTAACTACTCTCTGGGCAATTAGGGATGGGCAATAAATGCCAGGCCTGGTCAGGGTCACCCATATCAAATAAACAGACACAGTTGTTTTAATCTGTATCATAATGTGGAGGCTGTGTGACTGGGCTAGTACTCTTGAGATCCTTAGCTAGGTCCTATGCAGGGATATGATTTCAAATCCATCTTGGAAGCATGATTAAAACTAGAACAAAAGCCAGACTCAGTATTAGTGGCCATCACAAGTGTTACAAAGATCTATCTGACCTCTTAATATGAGCAGGGGAGGGGAGGAAATTTGCTGTCTGCTCTGGCCTGGCTCACATGTGACTCTGGATCCACAGTAATTTGGCTGCCCTCTGAAAAGGCAAACTGCACAGTTTTGTGAAACTGCCACCAAAAAGCTAATAACAGTATAGGTGACAACAAGGTGCAGAGCTGGATGAACACAGCAGGCCAAGCAGCATCATAGGAGCAGAAAGGCTGACGTTTCGGGCCTAGCTGCCTAGATGATGATACAAGGATTTCAGTGCTTTCAGGTAATTGCCTTACACACATCTTTCTGGAGAGCAATTGAGGAAAATTAAATGTTGGTTTGTCCCATGAAAGAATACACAAAAACTGTTGAGTTGGAAGAGGTTGATGGAGCTGCAATGTTGCCCTGTAACTAACCTGTGACTAAAGAGACGTCCCTAGGTACCTTTGTACCTAAGATGGTGCTGTGAGTGGCGACTTTTTCATTTGAGGACATGTGACAATTAGGCCAATTCAATTCAATTCAAGTCAAAAACAATGAATCTCCAATGATTGGTATTATTTGTTCCACACTGCTGAAAGGAATTTTGAGATGAGATTTGTTAACAATTGCAGAAAAATGCTAAAGATAAATGTCTGTGCACTTACCAATCCATTAATTAATGGACACATTGCTGGGACATCTTTCTGTTCTGTCAGTTTAGGCTATGTACCTGCAAACATTTGCAGTGACAGCTGTGACCATTATGAATGTTCAGCTGGGTTTCAGATGCTTGTAATGGCTTCAGATCATCAGGGATGCACAAGAATAACTGACACTTTTAAGAAGTTATCATGGCAGAATATAAGTTTGATGTAATTTAAGTAACGATGGTGGTGTGTTGGAACTTAAGGTTTAATTAATTTCTTAGATGTTAAACTGATCCCCATTGCTACTGCATGGCTGTGAGGATGGTATCTAGATCAATAATTATGGAGGAAGCTTGTGTTGTGGGGGCATGGATGAGGCACGAGTGAGTGAATGTAGATGAGGTGTAACGGGTCTTCAAGTAATGGGAGCTGGGTTGCTGTGATGGAGACCTGACATGTTTTCTAATCAGTCCACCTCCACGTACACACTCCTCATGCACCTGATCACAAATCTCAACTCAAGCCCTGTTTGAAAAGACAAAGATCCCAGGTAAAGTCATGCGTGGGTTGGGCAAGCATTTCAGAAGGTACAAATGCATGTGGAACTGCCGATGCTGGAGTCTGAGATAACACAGTGTGGAGCTGGAGGAACACAGCAGGCCAGGCAGCATCAGAGGAACAGGAAAGCTGACGTTTTGGGTCAGGACCCTTCTTCAGAAATCTAGAAATACATGTGGTTCATCTTTACTGAGAGCGCAGGAAATTCTGGTCTGGGTTAATGACATGTGACATCCTCAAGCCTTGGAGGACAGAGTCACAAATATGGCAGCCCTCTATCAGAGGTCTTAATGGTGAGAAGATGCCGAAGTGTATTGGACCCTTTGCCTTTGCAAAGAGTTATATGAGATTTGATCTTACACACGATAAATATAATCATGGGCAGAGTGGAAATGGTTAATGTTGAAGGTTGAATGTTTTGAGAGTAGGACATGTGGGTCATAGGTTCAAAGGTAAATTTAGGGTTAATACAGGGATCTTTTTCTTCACACAGAAAGGGAATCATAATGAGTGCTGATAGTTAAAAATGGACAATGTTGGATGAGCTTTCCACAAAATGCCTATTTCCAGATGTTAAAACTATCCTCACATAGTGATCAACATCTAGAAAAAGGGATTGGATAGTTCAGGCAATACTTCATTTACTTCTTTTAAGAACAATTGGGAAGCTTCAATGCTTTATACTGTAGAACATGCCCAGTAAAGCAATTGAAGCTACCTTATTGAATGTTTCCAAGGCAAAGATACATAGAGTTTTGGACAGCAAAGGAATTGAGGGTTATGGTGAATAAACGTGGAGCTGGAAAAGCACAGCTGGTCAGACAGCGTCAGAGGAACAGGAAAGTCAACGTTTCAGAGGGACATAGATAAGCTGCAGAGCTGGGCTGAGAGGTGGCAAATGGAGTTTAATGCAGAAAAGTGTGAGGTGATTCACTTTAGAAGGAGTAACAGGAATACAGAGTACTGGGCTAATGGTAAGATTCTTGGTAGTGTGGATGAGCAGAGAGATCTCGGTGTCCATGTGCATAGATCACTGAAAGTTGCCAACCAGGTTGATAGCGTTGTTAAGAAGGCGTACGGTGTGTTAGGTTTTATTGGTAGAGGGATTGAGTTTTGGAGCCATGAGGTCATGTTGCAGCTGTACAAAACTCTGGTGTGGCTGCACTTGGAGTATTGCGTACAGTTCTGGTCACCACATTATAGGAAGGATGTGGAAGCATTGGAAAGGGTGCAGGGGAGATTTACCAGGATGTTGCCTGGTATGGAGGGAAGATCTTATGAGGAAAGGCTGAGGGACTTGAGACTGCATTCGTTAGAGAGAAGAAGGTTAAGAGGTGACTTAATAGAGACATACAAGATGATCAGAGGATTAGATAGGGTGGACAGTGGGAGCCTGTTTCCTCGGATGGTGATGGTTAGCATGAGGGGACATAGCTTTAAATTGAGGGGTGATAGATATAGGACAGATGTCAGAGGTAGGTTCTTTACTCAGAGAGTAGTAAGGGCGTGGAATGCCCTGCCTGCAAAAGTAGTAGACTCGCCAACTTTAAGGGCATTTAAATGGTCATTGGATAAACATGTGGATGATAATGGAATAGTTTAGGTTAGATGGGCTTCAGATTGGTTTCACAGGTCGGCGCAACATCAAGGGCCAAAGGGCCTGTACTGCGCTGTAATGTTCTATGTTCTATGTTCTATGTTTTGGGCCGAAATCCTTAGTCAGTCCTGAAACGTTGACTTCCCTGCTCCTCGGATGCTGTCTGACCTGCTGTGCTTTTCCAGCTCCACATTTATTGACTCTGGCTTCCACCATCTGCAGTCCTTACTGTATCTGGTGAGCGGGTGGATAAGTGGAGTTGAGCCTATGATGAAGATCAGCCATGATCTTATTGAATGGTGGAGCAGGCTTAATGGGCCAAATGGCCTACTCCTGCTCCTATTGCTTATGTTCTTAAGGGAGTTAAGGATGGATGATCTAAGATGGGCTGAATAGCCTCTCCCATGCTTAATGCTCTTCAAATCGACAATCAAGATGGGGTTAAGGGAACATTTCAGCTGGTTTACTTACTCAGAGCTCTTGGCTTTTCCATAGTGCAGACTGAATTGGAAATATTTACTGGACTCCCTTGTTATTTCCCAAGTACATTCAATCTCCTGGATACCATCATAGAAACACATCAGATTTCGAGGCATCACCTCAGCTTTAGCTGTGAACAATCAAGGCAGATGGTTAGCTCTGAAATACAGAGTCTTAGCTCATAGCACTATGAATGCTACTCATTGGGATCCTCAACAACACAAGTTTGCAAGTCCGTGTTTGCAGATATAGGGATGAACGGAGTGGAAACCAAGTAATTGATTCTGGGGAAAGGTTGCAGCATCTGCAGCAGAATTTACAGTATTGAAACAGGCCATTCGGCCCTGCTGGACCATGCCTAATGGCATATTCCCCACACAAATCTCTTCATCCCTCTTTCATAACTCCATACATGTATCCTGCCAATCCATTTGCTTCATCTACTTGATTAGCATTGAAGGTAATGCCAATCTTTCCAACTACTCCTTGTCCTACTCATTCCCATCTCGGGAATTCCTCGCTGGATTTCTGGTTGGGATATGGTCTGGAAATGATGGCAAAGTCGTTTAAGATAAATCCCAGGAAGCACTAAGAGTGCCAGCTATCAACCTCTCTCCCTGGTAAATGGCTGTTGGTACCTTTTAGGGTTAGGCTTTCAAGACTGAGTTGGGTCATTCCTCTTGAGGCTAACAAGAGATACGGAACAAAGCAAACATTTTATACTAACCTATTTGAGAATGTTGTACACATGTCTCTGGAGAAGCTGGGCCGTCTGCCTCAGTCATATGGACACTCGCACTATACCACAGGAGCCCTACTGGGCCAAAGCTGACCTTTTTTTCTTCAAATCAGCCTGTTCATAGATATTATTACACCTCAGTGGAGCAGGTTGGATTTGAACCACAGACTCCCATTCCTGTGGTAGGGACACTACCACCACACCGCAAGTCTAATGCTCTACCAACTGAACTATCTGGGCTTGCCAGAATATGGGACACTTCACAGATTTGCCTGTTGTCAGGCCCATACTCAGCATGGGACCCCTACAAGATGGAAGCAGGCCATTCAGCCCATCAAGCACACACTGAATCTTTAGAAGAGCATCCCACCCAGACCCACTCCACTACACTAACCCTGTATTTTCCACGGCCAATCCACCTAACATGCACATCTTTGGACTGGGAGGAAACCAGAGCATCCAGAAGAAACCCATACAGACATGAGGAGAATGTCTGTGTGGAGTTTGCACGGTCACCTGAAGGTGGAATCAAACCCAGGTCCCTGGCACTGTGAGGCAGCAGTGCTAACCACTGAGCCACCTTGCCATTCTTCTCTGTGTCATTCCAATTTAAATATATGTGCTGCTAAAGGGAGCGCAAAGGAAAAATGAAACAGTAAGGTACGTGTTTATTCTGAACCCAGGATTGGACCAGTGACCTTTAGACTATCGGTCTACCATGTTCTCAACTGAGCGCTTCTATCCTGAGATCAGGAACAGCCTTGATCAAGTTGGAGAGTGAAGCAGGTTTGGGGGAAATGACCAACCCATTCCTGTTCCACTGTCACTGCCAAATAAATGCCTGCTTCTATGTAGCAACTTATCAAGATCTCTCAGTAATGTCTCAAAGTGTTTCAAACAAAGTCAGCTGCTTCCGATTGTGGTCAGTATTGCATTGCTGGTAAACAGTTGATACAAAATAAAAACACAGAAACTTTCAACACACTCCGCATGAGATAAATGAACAATAAGGCAGCTTTTGGCTACAGCAGGATGTTGGCTATAACACCAGGAAGCTGCATCAATTTTATCTTTGGCCTGTGTAGCATGAACATTTTTAGTAAGTGTAGCATTTATCAGCCTTTTTTTTATTGTTGCGCCTTTAGTTGCTGGAGCCGAAGATCTAGAATTTCATTTCTAAACCTGGCCACGTCTTTTTCTGTCCCTTTCTCTCAGAAGATACAGAAGGTTGTGTGCACAGCCCAGACCATCATGGAAGCCAACCTCCCATCCATGGACTCCATTTATGCGTCTCGTTGCTGAAGAAAGGCTCCAACATCAAAGACCCCTCCCACCTCGATAATGCGCTCCTACAACCTCTTCTGTCAGGCAGAAGATACAGAAGCTTGAACACACCTACCAACAGTTTCGTGAACAGCCTCTTCCCAGCTGTTATTAGTCTGCCGAATGAACTCTCTAACTTCAATGATCTTGTTAATGTTGATCTTGTTTTGTGTCTACCCTGTGCAGTTGTAATCTGTATGCCTTGTCCTGTTTAAGCACGTTATCATCTGTATGTTATTGTTAGCTACAATCTGCCTGTGCTGCTCGCTAAACAAAACTTTTCACTGTACTTAGGTACATGTGACTGCAATAAATCAAACCAAATCAAATCCCTCACCTTTGAAGAGAATCCTTAAAATCTACCTCTCCCCACCAAGATTTTGGTGTCCCCTCCTGACGTTTCTTTGTTTTGTTCCAATTTTCTTTGACAAACTGTGAGACAAGTTTTGCTTTTTTTTTACTGATTTCAAACATGCCTTTTAAATAAAACCCGAAAGAACTGCAGATGCTGTAAATCAGGAACAAAAACAGAAGTTGCTGGAAAAGCTCAGCAGGTTTGGCAGCATCTGTGAAGGAAAAAACAGAGTTAACGTTTCGGGTCCATTGACCCTTCCTCAGAATGTCACCGGATCCAAAACGTTAACTCTGTTTTTTGTCTTCACAGATGCTGCCAGACCTGCTGAGCTTTTCCAGCAACTTCTGTTTCTGTTTTTATGCCTTTTAAATGCAAGTTATATTTGGAGATCTGCGTCGCTGATTTGTTGTGTCTATCCACTCAGTGAAGGTTGCAAAAGCCACTTACCTGTTTGGAGGTTATAGGTGTTTGCAGTTGTCTCCCACTGGATCTCTGAGCTCCATTCACTCCAGTGGCCTCTAGAATCCTCCTGCTGCTGTGGCTTCGCCTTCACACGGGCAACGTAGGTTTCTGAATCTACCAGCAACGATCTGTTGATTTGTATCTGCTGGCTGCCTTCTTGCACAGTTTCCACTGCTGAATTCTGCAGGGAAAGACGATTGTTCAGCTCACACAGTCAGTTATATGCTCGAAGTCCAGCTGTTGGGACATCTCTGCCAAAACCCACTATTTTGTTTAAATTTTAAAAGAGATTAAAAACGAAAGGAATGTACAAAAAAAAGGCACAAGAGTAGCCCCTGCAACTTTCTCCAGTGTTCAATACAAGCATAGCTGATTGTCGGTCTCAGCTCTGCTCTCCTGTCCATTCCCTTTATTTCCTTAGTTCCCTGAGAGGACTGTGGTCAGGTGACCAGCAGCAGAAATGGCTGAGAGTCTGGCTACAATCAAGCATGCTGGGAATTTTGGTCAAGCTAGTTTAAACTCTGACCTCAGTTAAACTGGTGCCAGAACCTGCTGCGAGCTGTAGTATTCAGTATTGACCAAATAAAGCAAGTGTCACTGTGGTGTGCAGACACACCAGCACCTTATATGGAGTATGGCACATCTTTGTTTACAGCTTGCTGGTAACAATTGGGAGTTGTAAGACTCCATTGGCTGGGATCGCACCATGTGACGAGGCTTTGATCAATTCGTTGGGTGAGTGCCAGAGATCTTCCTGGAAAGGAGCACATTTTACAGAGCAAAGGAATTTTTCTCTCTCAGAGAGAGGAGAGCAAGTCTCCAGCCCACATTGGAAAAACAGTGATAACTCAGTATGGAGCTGGAGGAAGACAGCAGGCCAGGCAGCATCAGAGGAGCAGGAAAGTTGACATTCAGGTAGGGTCCATTTTCCAAAGAAGAGTCCCGACCCGAAACGTCAACTTTCCTACTCTTCTGAGGCCTGCTGAGTTCCTCCAGCTCCACACTGTGTTATCTCTGACTCCAGCATCTGCCGTTCTTGCTCTCTCCATATCGGAAAAGCACTTGCCCTGAAATTACTTTCAGAAAGAACAACGAACCATGAGGTGGGACCTGCACGGAGAACAAAGTTGGCCACTTCACTCGAATTGGTCTGGTATTTGATTGAAGCCAAACTTAGTGAGTTAAAGTTAGAGTTAGGGTTAAAGTAAGGTAAGGTGAAGTTAAGTGAAGTGAGTTGAACTTAAGGTGTTTGAAATAAAAAGTAAATGTTGCAATGAATGTACGTTTTACATTGACTATTGGCACCTAAAGGGTTAAATAAAGAAGGGTTTGTTTAATTAACTTCTGAGTCAGTTCCCTATTTTTTGCCTATCACACGAGGGAAGAGTAGCTGGGTGAAAGGTTTGATTACTCCTTTCCAGGCAACAGGATAAACATATGTCTATCAAACTTTCAGTGATGGAACTTCCACCACCCCTCCCGAGGGTCAATAATTCAATGATTTCCTATATTTTTGAGTGAAGTCATTTCTCTTCATCTCAGTTCCAATGATGCTCAAACACTACCTTTAATAAAACCACAGAACTGTGAGATGCTGGAAATCAGAAACAAAAACAGAAGTTGCTGGAAAAGCACAGCAGGTCTGGCTGCGTCTGTGGGAGAGAGATTACCGAGTCAAAGTTGGTGAGGAAGGGTCTTCTTCTGAAGAAGAGTCACTGGACCCAAAACGTTATCTTGTGTTTCTCTCTCTGCAGATGCTGCCAGACCTGCTGAGATTTTCCGGCAATTTCTGATTTTATCACTGTACATTCACGTTCTAGATTCTCAAGCCCAAGGGAAACATCCTCTCAGCGGTTTTTTAAAAGTACAATTGTTCATGGGATGTGGGCATCACTGACCAGGCAGCATTTATTGCCCATCCCTAATTGCCCAGAGGGCAGTTAAGAGTCAACCACAGGTCTGGAGTCACGTGTAGGTCAGACAAGGTAAGGATGGCAGTTTCCTTCCCTAAAGGACATTAGTGAACCAGATGGGTTTTTAATGATAACCTTCATGGATGCCACTAAACCAAATGTTTATGGAATTCAAATTTCACCATCCTCCATTGAGGGATTCAAACCCATGTCCCTAAAACATTGGCCCGGGGTTCTGGATTACGACACAGGGACATTACCACTGCACCACCTCTTGCCCAATTTGAGTTTATCAGGTCCCTTCGGAATCATGTACGTTTCAATGAGATCACCTCTCATTCCCGTAAATGGCAGTTAGTACAGGTCCAATTCATTCTACCCGGTGAATGAAAGCCCTTGTCCTTCCCATGCTATCTCAATGAGCTCAACAGATGTTTAAGGAACATGACCTCATTTCTTAGTTGGACACTTCACAACGTCTCAGAATAAACATGGTCCAACAATTTCCAATGATAACTGGGTGGCATGGTGATGCAGTGGTTAGCACTTCTGCCTCACAACGCCAGGGATCTGGGTTCAGTTCCACCCTTGGGTGACTGTTTGTGTGCAGTTTGCAGATATTCCCTGTCTCTATGTGGGTATCCTCTGATTTCCTCCCAGAAAGATGTACATGGTAGTTGGTTGGCTGTACTAAATTGCCCCATAGTGTCCAGGAATGTGCACTTTAGGTGGATTGGCCACAGGAAATGCAGACATGGGGTTGGAGTCTGGGTGGCCTGCTCTTCAGAGGATTGGTGTGGACTTGATGGGCCAAATGGCCAGCTTCCACACTGTAGGGATTCTGTGATACCCACAGTGACTGCTCTATTGCTGACACTTCTGCTATTGTCATTTTTGCTCCTCTTGGTGCCTCATTTGTTTATTTCACATTCATTTACATCACTCCTGCCCTTTGCCCTTTTTCAGAGTATATCTTTCGCTCTTTACTTCCTTCTTCCCTTTTCCTACCTTCTGCATGTGCGGTTAAATGGAGCTAAATTGGAAATATTGAATGTATCTGGAGTCATGGCTCAATCTCTGTGAGGGTTGCAACAGGCTGGAGAGCCTGGGGCCTCCTCGCGTTCCTACGTTTCAGTTACTTCCCGTTCCGATGAGGGGTCAATGATCTTAAATGTGTAACTGTTTCTCTGCTACCTGCTGAGTAGTTCCATTAAAACCCTGTTTTGGTGTCAGCTTTTCAGCGTCTGCACTATCTTGCTTGTGTTAATGCCCTGAGGTTGCCAACGGGAAATAAAACGGCTTGGCATAGTCGTTCGTGGAAATGCCTGATGTAGTGGCTCCAATTGCTTCCCTGGACATCACACTCATTCATCCAAGTGTTCTCCTGCCTTGGTTTGCACCCCATGTTAATGCAAGTGTCCAAGATGGCGGCAGAGTAGCAGCGCTGCATCCATCCTCCTGGCCCAGGACTCATCCACTTCCTTTGTTTCTTTTATTTCCTCTTACTTCTGCTTTTGCTCTCTCACTTTTTTTTAACTTTTTTTTTCCTCTCTACGAAGGTCTTTTCGGGGTCTTTGGCAGACCGAGAGCGGGCCTGGCCTCCTGAGTCACGTGGGGCAAAGGTGGCAACGGTCGCCTCCTCAGGGAGAGCGAGCCCGGCGTGGAGGTAACGAGCAGCGAGTGCAAGGTCCAGTGGTGAGGGATGGCATCGGTAGAGTGGCGTCTTCGGCGTTGGTGTGCCCACTGCAGGACTTGAGGCGGTGGTGGCGGCGGTCAGCTTTCAAGATGGCAGAGACGGCCTCTGTGGTCAGCGGAGAGGATGGCACCTGTGGTCGGCATTGGTCAGCTGCGGTAGGCCCGAACCGGTATTCCAGGCGAATCAATGGGAGCGGCGGTTACATCGGTGTGGTGGGCCCGGTGTGGTTCTCCTGCTGGTGGAGCGGTGGCAGCCCTGGAACGGACTATGATATGGTGGGGGTGGGGCGCTTTGTTAAGCACAGAGCCCGTTGTGAGGAAACCCTAACGATGTCAAGAGGAGCACAAAAAGGGAGAAAGAACTCTGTGATTAGTTATGCCTTAATGTCTTCCGCAACTCAAAATGGCGCTGGAGTGTGGCAACATATCACACTTTTCACTGTGTTAATTTGTTAAATGCAAGGGACAATAGATCAATTCAATATGGCGGCCTAGTGAATAGGACTCTCAGAATTACACACAGAGCTGACAGACATTCTCCTGTCCTTGAGAGAGTTTCCTGACAACTGTGACCTTTCTTACGAAAGTAAGAAATAGAAGCAGGAGAACAGGCCATTCGGCCTCTCAAACCTGCCCTGCCAACAAAGCCATGTGTGATCTACCCCAGGCCTCCACTTACAGGTTTTCGTGCCCTCAACTCGACATTTCCAAAATCTATCTCCCTCCTCTGTAAATGCTTTCATTGATCTAGCCCCTACAACTTCCTGGGGTTAGAGAATTCCAGACCTCTGTGAGATGAAATTCCTGCGTATCTCAGTTTTAAATGAGTCCCCTAATTCAAGACCTCCCCCCCAACCCCAGATCTTCACAACACCTACCTGGTGAAAACCCCTCAGAATCTTGTGTGTTTAAATACAATAGGAACATAATCACCCCTCATTTTTCTAAGCTCGAATGAATTGAGATCTAACGTATTTAGCTGCTGTTGGTATGTCAACCCCATCACCCCAGGAATCAGTCTCTTGAGTCTCCTTTGCAGTTTCTTCACCATTTACTTGAAATCATAATTATATCATTGGCCTCCCAGTTTAGATGCCGCGCTAATCCACTGTGTAATCTAACCTCACCCTCCTCCAACCCCAACAATATGAAATTCAGCTCTAATATTTAAGAACAACCCAGTTACATACTTTGCCTCTCTCTTCCATCAGGCAGAAGGTACAAAAGTTTGAAAACACGTACCAACAGATTCAAGAACAGCTTCTTCCTCACTGTTATCAGACTTATAAACAGACCTCTCATGTGTTCAAGTTCATCTTTCTCTGCACCTTCTGTGTAGCTGTAACACTGTGTTCTGCATTCTGTTCTATTACTCGGATGTACTTATGTAAGGTATGATTTGCTGGATAGCACGCAAAACAACACTTTTCACTGTATCTTGGTGCATGTGACAAGAATAAATTGAATCAAAATCAAAGCCAGCCTGTACCTCCCATGAATCCCAGCTTCGCTTGTAGTTAATTTCATACTGTAACCTTCCAAAGAGCCGATTGGATGAATTTCTTGTGTAGATTGTCTGCCAGGACAGTAAGTAATCCCCTTCTGTTGTGTTGACAACACTCAGATTAAACGGGGGTTGAGGTTTGACTGAGAATCGAAGAGACAAACAAGAGAGAAGTTTAACTGTGAGCAACACAATGGGTTGTCCTCATTGAATAATGTCACAGACGGGGAGTGTCATCCAGTTGAAACAGACTCAGAGCTTTATTGATTTCCAAACTCGACTTACTGTTTGCCAAGGGTCTGAAGGATTTGCTCAGATTAATGGGCTCTTCCGGTTTAAAGACATAGTTATATCGAAATGAGACGGCATAATTGTCATCCTCTATGGTGCACCTCCAGTTGAGATCAGAGCTGGACCCGCTGCCTGGTGATTTTCTCGAGTTGCACTTTTGCTGTCTGAAAGCACAGAAGTAACTTGTCAGTGTTATGTTTTTGCCCCTATAGGCCCGAACAAAGTGGCTCTCAAGTCTTTTCATTAGCTCAGTTAGCTGGCGAGTGATGCCAACAGTGTAGGTTCAATTGCTACACCAGCTGAGGTTACTGTGAAAGACTCTCCTTTGCAACCTCTCCCCTCTCCTGAGGCACGGTGACCCTCTGGTTAAGCCACCACCAGTTGTCTCTCTATCTCTCTAATGACAGAGCAGCTGTATGGTTTGGTAAGACAATGGTGACATTGCTTCAATCTAGAGACCCAGGCAATGTTCTGGGCACTCAGGTTTGAAACTTGTATACTGTGACTATCCAGTTTGAATTCGATAAAATTCTGTAATTTGGAGTCTAAAGGTCACTAAGAAACTGTTGTTGATTGTCAGAAAAACCCATCTGGGTCACTAATGTCCTTTAGGGAAGGAAACTGCCAACCTTACCTGGTCTGGCCTACATGTGACTCTAGACCCATAGCAATGTTGTCAACTCTTAACTGCCCTCTGGGCAGTTAGGGATGGGTAATAAATGCTGGCCTGGCCTGGGATGCTCCAATTCTATGAAATAATAAAAAATAATTGCATCACTTCTGCTTTTGTTCTGTTTTACATAAATGGCTTGCGTGACTCAGTGGTTAGCACTGTTGCCTCACAGTACCAGAGAACTGGGCTCAATTCCAGCCTCAGACAACTGTCTGTGTGGAGTTTGTATGTTCTCCCTGTGTGTGTGTGGGATTCTGTCGGGTGCTCGACTTCCTCTCACAGTCCAATAATGTGCAGGTCTGGCCTCTTCCCACACTGTTGGGATTTTATGATTCTATGACTCCACTTTGAGAACCATTGGGCTAGATTACTATTCCTGATGTAACCAAACCATCCACCTTGTGCGTTAGTTTCATTTCCAGCCTCTACCCTTCTTAAAATTCTCCTCTGAGTCTCCAGACACTTCCTACTCAATGTCAATATCCGGATGACACTCACGAGGTGTTCCCTTTGACTAGGAAGCAGGATGTTCTGTGGGAATATCTACACAAAAGGACAGAGGTAGTAGGAACTGCAGATGCTTGAGAATCTGAGATAACAGGATGTAGAGCTGGATGAACACAGCAGGCCAAGCAGCATCAGAGG